CTAATTTGGCCCTGCATATTTTATTTGAGCATTTCCATGTTTTATATTCACTTAATTCTGATTCATATTTAAATTTAAAATTATTTAACACTATTAATTTTTGGCTATTCGGGCTAAAGATTCTTTTAAATTACATGTTGAATTAAATATTAAATTTCTTAAACTACTTCTACTAACATCTAACACTAGTAAGTAGGTACTAAGTGGTATTATCACGAATAAAGGACTTATAAATACATTTGGATTTATCTTACTAATTTGTTCGCAACATAATATAATTAATTAAAAGATATACTTATCTACATAATAACACGTCGTATATCCATATAATAGGTATATGGTATATCTATTATCTGTTATATAATATGATTTAGGTACCCATCATTAATGTTATCGTATTGATATGTATATACGTACAGTTGTATATATCATAGTACATAGGTATATAAAATAATTATGATCTGAGGCCAAAAACTTGGAGAACGATACTTCGAGTCTGGCGGGCTAACTATAGTGAGGCCGAGAAATAGTGGGTGAAATAGACTTCAAGACTCGCAGGCGTAAGCTGGGTGGAGAACAAGAAAGACGATAAAATGCTCGAATCCGCCCTAAGCATTTTATATCTTTGGAATATAAACCTCCATAGAGTACTGACTGCTACTCTTAGGAAAATCGTGCTTAGGGCTTCCAGTGGAGGTAATAAACTGGTGTATTGGTTGTCTATTTTCACCATGTGTTTTTTTGAACAATAAATTGGGTGACCAATCTGCAAACAGTTCAGTCCCCATGCGGCTGTGTCACAAGAAAAACACAAAGGTATATAACATACATTTTGCCGCAGTTTCTATGATGTATCTGAACGGTTTTGTAGCAGATTGTATAATGTTACATTATTTTTCGCCAAAGTTTACATACCTATCGACTTTTAAAAAAAGCCTAATTTTGTCGCAATTTAAAAACAGCTGACCTGCATGGGCCCGTATTCTCTGTAACTATTTTGTTCCCCGGTTCCTCGGTTAATTGTATAGGTAATATTTTTTACGCCTGCCAGTACGTATATAGGTACTTAAATCTCTGTTAGAGAATACTTATACCTATAATACGCGAATACCTACTTATTAGCGCTCGGCGCTAGGCTTTGGCGAACATTTTCCTTGATCGTTATTGTCTCTATGATTTTTAAAAGCATTACTTTTTGTGTGGTTAAATGCATTAAAGTACAAATTGTTTTTTAATGACGTACGCATGTATAAATGTATAATGACCATAATACATATGTCATTTTTATGTCAGATTTATATTATTAAACTTTAAAAGGTATATTTGGACGACGGTCGGGCTCGAAAAAAACTGTTTATAGTTTATATACCTTCAAATTGCTATTCTTGCAAGCGAAAACGCAATAATGGTGAACGCAAATTACCGCATGGCCCATGTACCTACAGCAGACATTACATTTAATTTATAATATTACAGTGCTAATATCAAGTGACTTGGAAATACAACATTACGATGATATATTGTTAAATTAAAGAAAATATTTTTAAATTTATTATGGTATAGCCGGTATAGTCATCTTTGAAATGAAGAAATTCGTCATCAATTTTATGGAAACAATAAAATAGTAAATCAATGGAATGAAATTATAGAAATCAAAACTGTATTTTTTCTGATTCCGAATAAGTTCAAAGTAGGTACCTACTTACCTTTATATAGGTATACTTTTCTGTGTATTAAAACGATGTAGCTTAGAGATTATACTATAAATTATTATATAGATATTTCACTCTCCGCGCCCATCCATCATTCATCAATCATTACCTGTAGGTACTGTATAAATGCTCGTGTACTTACTTAAATGACGTCAAAGTCGAGATAACCCTCAGCTATTGAATTTATTGAATTATGATAAAATATATTTCACTCAACCATCAATCAATGATTTTCCACAATATTGTTATAGTACTTTAGAGTTGAAAACTTCGTTACTCGCATTTTATTATGGGTCTGAAATTTGTTTGTACTCCCGTGATATATAATATACTTAAATCGTATTCATCACGATTTTCATTAAGCAAACGTATGCGTGATTCGCGTATATGGCATATAAAAAACTGACATAACAATATATTATTGTACTCGAGAAACACGTAAGGAATATACGGTACTTTTTACGTAAAAGTTTTGTTTATCGAGCACCTAAATATATATATATATATATATATATTATGCTCGAGTATACAGGGTGATTTTTTAAGCATGCTCAGCCCCAATTTACCCTATCTAATAGTACATTTATTCAAATTCTTTAAGTAGTACATACAAATCTCAAGTATATCGAGTGTATTTAAAAATTAAAAAATAATCATAATTAGAATATAGATGCATATTATAATTTAAGCATAAAAACAGGGCGAGCGCGCTTTAAAAATCACCCCGTATCAGGGTTTTTTTAGTGTGGATTGAGACACATTTTGTATAGTGAGAAAAGTAATTGTGCTGTGAAAATTGTTACTTTGTGAAAAGAATTTCAGGATGATATTTATTGTATATTATAAAATTATACCTACTATTATTTGATGTAAATGTTTGACACAAAAATTAAAAAATAAGTTACCTAGTCAATTGATTGTTTTATTTTTATAAACAATTATTATTACTAATTACCTATCACAAGTAAATATTACTTAGTAAGTATTATTACTTATATTTACAAACAGAATTTTAAAATTATTATTTACAATAAAAATAGTGCATTAATATAAAATGATTTATTTGGTATATCATGGTCCGGATTTATATGTTTTTACATAGGTATCGTTTCTGAGTACATGCATTCTTATGAAAGTAACCAAAAAGTAGATAGTATACACTATACAGTAGACAGTAGTATAGCCGGCACAGTTCAACATAGTTAACAGTCGGTAGGGTTGGTCCGCGTATAAACAAATGCCCTACTACAATCCAAAAGTGGGAATAAGTTTGTGCAGTCAGAAAAAAATCATTAAAAAAAAACCCTGCCCCGTATTATATATTGTATTAAAATATAGGTATAGATCGTCATAATATAATAATATAATCCGAGATAGGCAGCGGCAATCATTTAAATAGTGCGGCGGCTGTCGGTCGTCGTGTTCAAAACAAAATAATACTCGGATTCTTTAAACGCGCATTATCAGCTGTGATCGCGATCGGCGATTGTATTCGAACGCGGAAAATATATTATTATTATTATTATTGTTATTATTATTATATAAACGGCCGAGCTCGTGCGATGGCGACCACCGATTGTCCGGCTCGTCCTTTAACATCGTGTACTTATCTTATTCGCGAGCTGCACAGACGTCCGTCTTTATGCCTTTACCGTGTACATTATGACGTAAACTTAACGTCGTTCACACGATTAAAATATTTGACAGTGGTCACCTCGTAACCGCAATATGTTTATTATATTTTTTATAGGTCTTCGTTTATATATAGTAGATACTATATCGTATTATAATTATATAATGCAGTATAAATCTGTTGCAGTTGCACGGGCAATCGATTTTAAACTGATTTTAAACTGATTTTACATATTATTATCATAATTATTAGTTGCATGCACGGCTTTAGATAGAAGCCTATCTAAAGCCGTGGTTGCATGTAACAAAAACTCACATAAATGTATTTACAAGTGTAAGTTGTAATAATTTATGATTTCATTATGTATATATTTTTTTCCAGTAATTTTCATTGTTATATAGGCTTTATACCCGAACATATATTTTTGTGGCAGTCCGTGGCTATATATTTAGTTCTATTACTTAGCGTATACCTAACTAGCTACCTACCTAGCTACTATCAAATCAATTTATAAGCTAATTGATACTATAAGTATAATTGAGTTCAATACTCGTGGAATAAAGGATAATATAGTGTTCTACGAAAGTGCAAAAGCGGGGTGGTAATATATTGTTTGTGCTGTAATAAGCAATTAAGGGAGTTGTAGAAAGATACATGTATTTAGATGCAGTCCTGTAAAGAATACTTTTGAAAAGTACTTGAGTAAGTACTCAAATACATTTTTTTTTAAATATTTAAGATACTACTCAAATACTTTGAAAAAGTATTTGGAATACTTTTCAAATACTTTTGGTTTTTAAAGTGGGTTTCTAATTATTGTAATATAGACACATAGGTAGTAAATTTATAATCATTTTTATTTATTATTTATTAAATAAATGTATATTACATTTTTTTTTTTTTATTTTTACATGAAATTTACAATCTGTTCTTAACTAGAACAATAAGCAAATGTGCATAGGGTATTTGCGTATGGTTTTTTTTGAGGGAAGAAACCACCCATTGGTGATATTACCTATTTTGTGTTCTTAATTTATTCTAAAATTTCTAAAATTATTTCGAATAAAAATAAAATGTTCGAAATAAAAAACCAAAGTATTCAATACCAAAAAGTATTTAATACAAAAAAAAGTATTTAAAATACCATTCAAAATACTTCATGCTGAAAGTATTTAAAAAGTTATTCAATACTTAAAAAAGTATTTGAATACTTTTACTCAAATACTTTTACTCAAATTCTTTACAGGACTGTTTAGATGTTAGTTTATCTGGGTTCAGCGTCATTGTTAACTTTTCTCGGTGTAAGTTTGAAAACCACTGTATTGTGTATATATGCATATTTTAGATATATATATATGTATAAACTACATAGAAGATTTTGATTCAAATCAAACATTTTTTATACTATATATAGACTAGCTATAGAGTATGTAGACATTAGACAACCTTTCCTTATTGTAACTACACGAATTTGCATTAATTTCGTGCAACAATAGTTTAAACCAAAATCTAAAATATTTAAAGTTTTTAAAATCACTTCTTTTAAAAGCAATATTAAAGAATTCCTTGCATTGGTGGTCACCGGTTACTAGTCGAACTTTATCTTTAAGTGGTTTAACGCCCATCATATTTATTTCAAATTGATTTTAAAAACCATGCAAGGTTTATCTGGAGGACTAACAAATTTAATAATCCTACAGATACACTATGTATTACGCAAGTTGTCTGTGACATTTGAAAGTCACTGCAGTCTAAAAACCGGGAAAACAGACCCCAATGAGGGCCAAAGTTTACGAAATCGATCCAATCCTCATTGTTGTGGCACTGTAGCTGCAGTACGTCAAAAATCAACATAAATGAAATACCCTCATCACGACATGCGCTTAAATTTGCGTTGGGAAGTCGTGAAACCACAGGCGGCGTTTCCGGTACGCGATTGTTACCAATAATTATCATCTCAGGCGATCACCTCGACGTCTCTTCACCGCCTGCATCAAAGTCTCTTTCTTCCGATTCGCGGTCGTTCCGCGTTGTTCCCTTAACGGTCACTAAATAATATATATCATGATATAATACTCGGGTTCTAAACAACAACAATAACGCGACGACAATGGCCATCATCGTTATATATACAACGAAACAATGTAATATTATATAGAGTCGTTTCACGGTCGGACGGATCTCTCGGCGAGGGCTGCGGTGGGCGAGGGGTGAAAACGGTGGAAGTATAATAAGAACGATAAAATCAAAAATGGCAGCCTCCCTTTGTTACCCACCGTTCCAAAATGCCCAGAGTTCGGGACTCACACGTCATATACCTACACACGTCACATAGCCGAGATGATCGCGGTGTTGTGACAAAACTGATCGCATAATATAATATATAGGTGGGTACGATCCAGATCCGTCGTCGTCGTAGTCGGCTGGTTTAGGTTCACGGACCTTTGGCCCGTTAATAATTACCGTCGCGAATCGCAGTCGGTTCCCGACCTCATTAACCGCGCACAGAATCCTCTGCCACCCCGCCCCGCCCCGCTCGCCGTCACACACGCCGATCGACCGTGACCGGCGGCGGCCCCTCCTCGCCGGCCGTCACCGCCCGCGCTTGACTCTGTGGCTGCTGCAGAGCGTCGTGTGTGCCGCGGTGATGCCGGTGACTTTAATCCGGGCATTTATACTTATTATTACCATGTATAATGTCGTCACCGCGTTCCGTGTCACATCCCGTCGGAAGCACGCCGCCGCCTACCGTGCATATATAATGTCATTATAATAATAATAATATATAGAGTATACCACTACCGCCGGTGCGGTTCAAACCCGCACCGAACCGCTTACCCCCGCGGACGAGTCACCGTTACGCGGTGGTGCTCGGTCATACTCGGACGATATTTCACGTCGTATCGTTTATTGTTTTCAGTTGGACGACGCCGCCCTGCAGCTGTACAAGGACGGCGATTTCGGATCTTACCTAGACATGGAGGCGTCCATTTCCGAACAACCGGAGGAATTCGAAGGATTTCAAAACGAGTGAGTACCTACCTATTAGTACAGGTATATAATATTCATATTTTACGCATGATGATGTATAGGTGATTTTATTCTTGGCGCGAATCGCAGACAATATTTTATCTCAATTTATACCATTTCGATAATCCGCCTATATAGTATGCAGTATATAGGTATAGTGCGTAGGTGAAATGATCCATATCGTCGTGGTCGGGGGGTGGGGGGATCGCCGATAATGGTACCTAAATACATAAATACGCTATATTAGCTAATATACCAATAACGTTGGATGATGTTCTGTGGATCGTGACAGTCATATCCGAATGCACTTGGATAAACGATATTATTATGTAAACTTTATTATTAGGTACATATAATATTATACCTTATTATAGGATATATAGCCATATTGATTCATCTAAACGAGTTTTGTATTTTGCTTTAGTAAAAACGCTCAGGAAATTTGCTCAATCGTACGTGATACTAGTAAACCTTTACAGGTTAGCAGCGTATGGGTAATACTATTGAACATGGTCGATTTTGTACAGGTTGGAGATTTGTAATCATCTCGAATTTAGAGTATCCGTCGTAATTTAGTTTTGACATTTGATTAAATTCCTTGTTCGTGGTAGTAGGACGTAGGAAAGAAAAACTTAGGATGGGATTAGATATGCCAGATATTATTACCAACTATAAATATGAAGTGATGGAAAACCAGTATTTTTTTAAACAAAATTGAAAGTATTATGTATATCTTTTTCAGTAAATACAATATAATATATAGGTATAATTGATACCGATATGTGAAACTCAAACTTCAGATTTAAATTTCCTCAGCTGATAATATCTATTCAAAAAGTTAACTGACAAATATTTAAACAATGTTTTTATATATCAATTAAATTACAATTATTTTTTTAAAGATGATTTAAGCTTGGTTGAAACGGATCGACAATGTTGGAACGTAACTTTATTTTTTCCCACGCTTGTATTGCATTAGATAGTAATAATATGATAAATACATAATCATTGTTGTGGCTAGTTAATACTACCTATACCTATATACGTTTCTATATTATACTTCAATAGTTTTTTATTTTTTAATTGGCTGATAACACGTTTTTTTCATGTCGTAAATATTATTCTCGATAATCGTTTAGTCTCTTCCCCAAAAATCGTACGTTTAATTTTCAATAGAAAAGTTTTATTTTCAAGCGACGCAATAACTAATAATATTCGTAGGCTGATAGAATTAATTATGATGTTAAAGTGAATTAAAACAAATATATATTTTTTTAAATTGGTCATATTATGCTAGGAAGAGTGGTAAATAAAAAGAAAGAGTGCTCTAGATAATAATATCTGGTGAGTAACTATCAAAAGTCGAATCATTAATTTACCTATATAACATAATATAATATAGGTATAATAATTCGTATTATTTAAATATATATTAAGTAGTCCGAAATATTTGACATCTAAGTAGGTACCACCTATTTTTAAGATATTTTATTCATATAATTTTAAGATGTTGTACCAACATGGAAATTAGAAATAATATTATAGAAATTGATTGTTTGGTCACATTTTAGTAGGTAAAGCTACTAATAGTTTTGCTGAAAAAATAAATTTATATCAAAAAGTGTTATAAATATTTGTTGACCTTTGATTGTTATTATCATACAATTATACAATTATATCAAACAATAATTCCTTACAGTCGACAAAAATTGTGTTACCTAAATATAAGAATATTTAAATGAAATTCTTTATATTTAGTTTGGCGTATAGGTAGGTATATATTTTATATATTGTTCCTCACATATATAAAATAATAATTTTACATAACGTGATTACCCCTATGAATAAAATAAAAGTAAAATAATATTGTGAGAAACTGTTTTGAAAATTGAAGATAAAGAATGTTTCGAGGAATTATGGGAATCGTTTGTCATAACTCATAACATGATAATTAGCATTCAAGTAAATTGATTTCATTAGCTGGTGAAAAAATACTTTTTTACTGTACAATGAGCTTGCGTGATAACATGCAGCAGTCAAATAAAGTATACAATCAGTAAAATAACACGTCATAATATTTTGTGCTCAGTTACCAGTTTTAACGTATAGTCTTTTAAATATTTATTTTAGGTTTTCGTAAACGTATTTAAATATTTAGTTTAGATTAAAAGTTATTTATTTTTTAAGACCGTTTACCAAAACTTCTACCAATAATAACACATAAAGTACCCGTTTGATTGTTAATTTCGTAGAATGATTACTGGTTCCGTAGTATTTAACTAAATATTTACTTAATGTACTGTGAACTCATTTTACTGTTATTATTTAGTCACCGTGTCACCATGTCCCATCGGTCATCAAACACGCAGACATAACGAAACCAAAAGAACTGTGACAGTTTTAACAGAGAATTCTAATCATGACAAAGAAATAAAATGCCGTTATGTGGGGACAGATTAAGATCGATATGGACACTTGGTTGAAAAAAAAAAGGAAACTAAATAAATGAGAGCTATTATTGCGTTACCGCCTTCGACACGGATTGCAGTTACCCAAGAGAAAAATTCAACGAACGTTTAGATCTAAAAGTCGGATCGGGTTTTTATTTGAGTCACGATTTCGGGCTGTTCAAAAAACATAATATTTTGTATCCCACGGTAATTGTTTGACATCATGGCCTCTTTCACCTCACATTTTTTTTTCTTTTTATCAGTTACAGTTTTAAGTCTTCTCCCGTCTCAAGATAGTAGGTACATTCCTTTGCTGCGATACCTATACTATACAGTAGGATATGATATGACGGGTGCCTGCCTATCATAAATTATAAACGATTGTTCAATTAAAATGATAAAATATTATGCTTTGTTTTCGCATGAAATAACAACACAGCATAGTCCGTTATCAATTTTTTAACTATATTATATTAATATATACCACCATTAATATTATAAATTTTGTTATTATTATATTTTTTTTTGTTCCAGTAAAAGAAACTCGATTGTCTTGCGCACGCAGTTGTCAGTCAAAGTACACACTATAATCGGTAAGTATCCCATAAATATTGTAAACAGGCGAAATTCGTTATGTACGGTCGAGTGGTTCTTATATTATATTGTCTGAAACTGACGTTATTTAAAGCGAGTTAATAGCGCAAGTCGTATATTTACTGTACCCAATTATGTACATTTCTATGAATAGAACGCATTATGGGGCACAATAAAAATGTGTAACGAATAATGACGAACACGCGGTGATAATTGCTCCTGTACCCGCGGATAGTCCACGAAAAATCGTGACCTTTTATTTCTTCTTCTCGCGTTATTGTTATTAATATTATTATCATTATTATTTTGCAGACAAATTGATGAACTCCGAAGGCAAAGAGCTCCGGAGGTGTTTGTTCGCGCTCAAGCACATATTTCAGGTGAGAGACCACGACTCGGGGAGCACACTGTAACAATGATAATTCTTTTGTGCGCGTGTTGGCCAGGGGCACAAGCGTTTCAAGGTTTAGAGAAACTGTTTGCCAGTGTGTTTATGTATATATATATATATATATTATAATATGTTATAGTGATTAGCAATGTAAACAGCCCGGGCCATTGTTCGGGCGCCCCATGTGCCGTCACGTACATAATGCTGCAACAGTTGAAATGTTATTGTAATATTATACTAATATAATATATGTGTTGTAGGAGGATAAGGATTTGGTTCACGAGTTCATACAGAACGACGGGCTACGGTGTCTCATTAAGCTGGGCTCGGACGTCGACCAGAATTATCAAAACTACATATTAAGAGGTACCTACCTATACCACCTGTTACTTACCTTTTTCATAAAACCGTACTCTGCCGAACAAAAAATTTTATAACTCTCAATCGTTTTACCCTCAGCTCTCGGGCAGGTGATGTTGTACGTGGACGGCATGAACGGCGTTATCGAGGACAACCCGACCATTCAATGGCTGTACTCGCTGCTGACTTCCAGATTCCGATTGGTCGTCAAGACCGCGCTAAAGCTGTTGCTGGTCTTTATCGAGTACGTCGAGTCCAACTGTTTGATTTTCATACAAGCCGTACTCGCGGTGCACCAATCTAATGGTAATAACCGTATATACCGTATGATACGTAATAATATAATTTATTATATCGCTCTGTCGATCGTTTGTACCTATATATTGTGCGTGTCCGTTTTATTATTTTTTGTCTTCCCGTAGGCACTCCATTGTGGAGTAATGTTATGAAACTGCTCACCGAACCCGATATGGTCGACACTGAACTGTTGGTGTACGCGATGACGTTAATCAACAAGACATTGAACGGTATACCGGATCAAGACACATATTACGATCAAGTCGATTCTATCGAGGAACAGGGAATAGAACAAGTTATACAGAAGTAAGACGAAAAACCATGATAGTATTATATTGCGTGGCACATATGCTATAAACATTGTTTTTCTTCTAGGTACATGTCGAAGCCGGGAACTGAACTTGATCTTCTCAGACAACTTCAGATTTATGAAGTCGTTCTGCAACACGAAGATGGAGATAACAAATCTACTCCAATCAGAGTAGACCATTCAATCAGGTAAGCAGTACAAACATTTAAAAAAATAAATATATATATATATACCTATATGTATGTAAAATGAACATTATGTTTATGTTTATATTTCAGAAAAACATTAAGAAATAGAAAATCATTGAATTCTTCATTAGATTCTGCTGATAGAAGAAAATCTAGAAGACACTCGGCCGGTAATCCATGTGTTCAAATGCCTTTACTTATGGAAAGGCTCGATATAAATCCACCTTTACCAAAGCCAAACAAATTACCTCATCCAGGTATGCGTGGCTAAATATTTAAGTATTTGTTTTATTATTGTTTCGACTTGTCTAACCAATTTAATACATAATATTTTTGGTTTTTGAGTATGGTTTTGAATGTTAAAGAAACAATATTATTTTATAAGTACTATATTTACTTCTCTTTAGACTATAATTAAAAGGGCTGAAGGCCTCTACAGTTCTACTACTAGTAAACCTGGAAATATGTAGATACCTACCTACTATTATACTTATGCACTAAAAAAACAACAAATAAGCATTTCAAATATGCTCTATAAAGTGTATAATATGACTTTCGGTACTTAAATTAACAATTAAGTTACAATTAATATGAAAACAAAAATATAAAAATATAGTTTGATTAGGTATTCACTTTATAAAAACTTGAAAAATTACTACTTAGCAATTAACACTCCCAGCTACACGCGTTGTAGTATTATCGGCCGGATAATCGACCGATATAGGTACTGCGATTAGTGTAGTAAGTACTATTATATTTTTAAATATTCAATTTTCCAAATGTATACCTACTTAAGAATATGCTCTTAATTTGTTAAGACCAACATTTTACACTTAAAGTTTTTCAAAATATTTACCATCTTATTTGTCCTAACTGACTTTATTTGATCGAAAACTGGCAAAATTTATTATAAAAATTATTTATTTATTTTTTCTAATATGCTTAAATATGTATTTATATGCAATAACGACAAAATATGCAAAAATCAGCAAAATAAAATTCTCAGTGTAACTTACTAGTATTATGAAACATATTTATACATCACTCACATTATTTTGAGACCTTTCAAGACAACAATATAACTAAAAGTCCTCAGCTCTAATAATTAATTATTTTGCTTACTTCAGCTTAGCTTTAAGCGTTAATATTTGTCACGTCGTTGTGTAGCGTTTTTGTTTGTTTCGCTTTGCATCAGGTGAGGACGCTGGAGTGACCCCTGGCTTAAAACGAAGAAGGGAACGTGCTCAAAGACAACGGAGCTTGCTCCGGGAACAATATAAGAACAATATAGCTCGACCAGATTGGTCTAGTACTGACGACCAAGGTATGTATAATTAGTATGAAATATTTTTGTCAACACACAATACGGTAAGATTAATTAAATAAATTTGTATTGTATTAATTATTTAAATTTGTTAGGGGAAAGTTCTGAAGGTCAAAATGGGTTACATCCGTTTAACTTGTCTTTCTGTAATGGAGACACGGAAGTTCAGAGAGAGAGCTCGGTAAAAGACTTGACACAAAAGTTGACAAACTTAAGAAGTCCGGATGAGTCACCTACTAAATTGGCTCCACCTCTAGATGATATGAGAGGAATAATTTCAAAAGCAATGGAAGGTATTGAATTGATGCATTTTATAATAACTAGAGCGCGGATTTGTATGCATTTGCATATTTATTCTGGTTGATTGTATGATATGACACAACATTTGTTTCATGACATAACGATTTAAAAAATGAAACTTTTTTAGTGCATATTTTTGAATATTTCGACATTTATCTACTTAAAGGGCTTAGTTTTACAATTTTGATTGCATATTTTATCTTTTAGTGCATATTTCGATGTAATTTTTGTTTTTATGGACATTTTTGAAATATAATATACTATTGTATGTAAGAAAAAATATATTATATTTGTATAGTTTTCGATTAATAGCAAAATAAATTAATAAGTGGGGGGACAGAGTGGGCCGAGTGGACAAGGGCGTCGGTTACGACGTGCACCCCAAATCGCCGGTTCGAAAACCCGGCCACGGGCGGCAAATTCTCATTCGGGCAGTCACGGTGTCATGGCAGATACCCTACGGGCGCCACTAGAAAATTCTCCAAACTAACAAACCACTTGTACAATCCTCACGGTAAAATTTTGAAAACCATCCCATGGCCTAAATTGCAAGCTCGTTAATGTAAATAAAAAAAAAACAATAATAGGTATACTTGTAGGTGTAAATGGCTTCACAAATAGTTTTGATATTTATTGATTCATATTTTTTTCTTATAAAATAAAACTACCTACAAAATAATGAAATTAAAAAAAAAAAAGAAGAAAACTATTTCTAGTGGGGTTCCATAATTTTAAATATATTGTTTAATATGTTCAATAAACACATTTTTTTGAAATGTTTTTGTATATTTTTATTTTTTATGCATATTTTAACATAGGTAATTAATAATGTAATTATTAATACATATAAATCCACGCTCTAATAATAACCAATGTGTATTTTTAAATACGTGTGGTTTTGTTTTATATAGGACTTGCCAAATCTCAGTCAAAAAATGAAGTTGTGAAAAGTCCGACCTCGGATTCAGCTATAGATATACTGTCGAGAAAAACTGAGACTGATTTACAATGGGAGAGATTAGTAAGTGAGTGCGATCGTTCTCTTCAGTTATGTGACTTAGATTTCTCTACTCTACACTCCGACGACGATTCTGATGTGTTGGCGTCATCTTCATTTCTTGGAGGTATTCCTCCTCCACCACCTCCTTGTCGCTGCTACCACCCATTCACCGCATGTTGCACCAAACACCAAAAAGACTGTAAAACTATTTTGGAAGTATAATATGTTTAGATGGTTTTAATAATAAATAACATTATTTAACATAGAATCATTACAGGAAGTTGAGATGAACCATCGCTAGAGTAAATTGACTCTGACGTCTGTATGGGAGACTAAGTCCCGTTGAGGATACCATAACTGGAACATTATTTGATCTCGTGCGAAAGATTTATTACCAGTAAAACAAATAATTTTGATTAACTAATAATTAATATGTATAATCGATTATGAATATTCAAATATGCTGTATAATGGGGCTCACAAATGGTTCGGTAACAAAGTAACACTACTGGATTTGGGTTTATGAGTGATGGTTTCTAAAATATATATGCATGCATTTGCATATTTATTCTGGTTGATTGTATGATATGACACAACATTTGTTTCATGACATAACGATTTAAAAAATGAAACTTTTTTAGTGCATATTTTTGAATATTTCGACATTTATCTACTTAAAGGGCTTATTTTACAATTTTGATTGCATATTTTTATCTTTTAGTGCATATTTCGATGTAATTTTTTGTTTTTATGGACAATTTTGAAATATAATATACTATTGTAATGTAAGAAAAAAATATTATATTTGTATAGTTTCGATTAATATCAAAATAAATTAATTAGTGGGGGACAGAGTGGCCGAGTGGACAAGGGCGTCGGTTACGACGTGCACCATCACCGGTTCGAAACCCGGCCACGGGCGGCAATTCTCTTCGGGCAGTCACGGTGTCATGGCAGATACCTACGAGCGCCCACTAGAAAATTCTTCCAAACTAACAAACACACTTGTACAATCCCTCACTGTTAAAATTTTAAAAACCACCCAATGGTCCTAAGTTGCAGCTCGTTAATTAATAAAAAAAAAAAACAATTAATAGGTATACTTGTAGGTGTAAATGGCTTTCACAAATATTTTTGATATTTATTGATTCATATTTTTTTCTTATAAAATAAAACTACCTACAAAATAATGAAATTAAAAAAAAAAAAGAAGAAAACTATTTCTAGTGGGGTTCCATAATTTTAAATATATTGTTTAATATGTTCAATAAACACATTTTTTTGAAATGTTTTTGTATATTTTTATTTTTTATGCATATTTTAACATAGGTAATTAATAATGTAATTATTAATACATATAATCCCACGCTCTAATAATAACCAATGTGTATTTTTAAATACGTGTGGTTTTGTTTTATATAGGACTTGCCAAATCTCAGTCAAAAAATGAAGTTGTGAAAAGTCCGACCTCGGATTCAGCTATAGATATACTGTCGAGAAAAACTGAGACTGATTTACAATGGGAGAGATTAGTAAGTGAGTGCGATCGTTCTCTTCAGTTATGTGACTTAGATTTCTCTACTCTACACTCCGACGACGATTCTGATGTGTTGGCGTCATCTTCATTTCTTGGAGGTATTCCTCCTCCACCACCTCCTTGTCCAATGCTACCACCCATGCAACAGCATGTTGCAAAGAAAACCAAAAAGACTGTAAAACTATTTTGGAAGGTATATACAATACTGTTATATGATTTTAATAATAAAATAAACATTATTTAACATACGAATCATTACAGGAAGTTAGAGATGACCCTATCGCTAGAGTAAAATTGAACTCTGAACGTCTGTTATGGGAAGAACTAAGTCCCGTTGAAGTTGATACTCATAAACTTGAACATTTATTTGAATCTCGTGCGAAAGATTTTATTACCAAGGTAAACAACAAAATGAATATTTTTGATTTACTAAATAATTAATAATAGTAATAATCGATTATGAAATATTCAAATATGCTGTATAATATTTGGGCTCACAAATGGTTTCGGGTAATGCAAAAGTAACACTGCACCTGGGATTTTGGTTTATGATTATAATGGTTCTCTTAAAATTATAATATGCATTTATGCTTGGTAATACTTTGTGAAGCTTTTTAATGATATTTTGTTTGTTTTTAATGCGACCAAATTGAAAAAAACACGGATTGTACAAATTTTTCCAGGAGGTAAGGCTTTTCTTTTATGCTTGTGATTAATAATGGGTGTCGGATGTTTGTAATAATGTTCTATTCTTATTGTCATTTAATTGTTTAGAAACAACAAGAAATTAATAAAACGAAAGAAGTAATCGTATTAGATCCTAAACGATCAAATGCAATTAATATAGGAATGACAAAGTTACCTCCACCGCGGTCAATCAAAGCGGCTATATTGAAAATGGATCCGACAGTCATAAATCGAGAGGGTATAGAGGTAATAAAAATTAAGAAAATTGGGCACGATTTGAAATGTTCACTAACCATAATAAATTATATTTATTAATAATAATAATAATTGTATTATTTTACAGAAACTCATGACTATGCTTCCTAGCGATGAAGAACGAAACAAAATTCAAGAGGCGCAGTCTGCGTGTCCGGATTTACCTCTGGGCAGCGCTGAACAGTTCCTATTAACACTAGCTTCGGTATCTGAGCTTCCAGCTAGGTTAAAACTGTGGTCTTTCAAATTAGACTACGAGAACGTTGAAAAAGAAATCGCCGAACCGCTTATGGATTTAATGCAAGGAATTGAAATATTGAAAACGAACCGCACGTTTAAGGCGATATTGGGCACACTGCTGTCGGTGGGCATATTTTTGAACGGTGCTGAAGTCAAAGGATTTCAAATCGAATACCTGGCTAAAGTACCGGAAGTCAAAGACACCGTGCACAAGCATTCTCTTCTCCACCATTTGTGTCATATCGTCATGGATAAGTTCCCTGATTCCACGGATTTATATTCAGAGGTAGTTGTCGCGTTAATGTATTTATTGTACCTTATCAATATATTATTAATACTATATAAAAAACATATCTTCCTGTTTTGAACACAGATCGGTGCTATTACGCGTGCTTCAAGAGTAGATTTCGGAGAAATAGCTGCTACGTTGTCAAAAGTAGAACAAGAGTGCAGAGCGTCTTTCGACCATTTAAAGACGATCAGTAAACACGACGGGGCGACTGCTATTAAATCCAAGTACGCCACTTCTATTCAACACGACACACTGCAATTGTGCATAATACTCATAGATATAGTTTTACTTTTACACAAAAGCGTTTTGAAAAAGTTTTACTGGTTTAGATTTCCTACTGAACCCATTGAGTATAATTAGTATTCAATGTTTAAAAATAATTGCAAGATATTAACATGTATACGATAATAATGATTACCTATTAGGGATAAAAGTTTTTTGTGTTGCAAGTTTTGAGCGAATATTTATGAGTTTTTAGGTATTATTTAATGTTGTTTTTAATTTTCTGATTTTTTAGTGCTCATTCTTAAACTATTTTTATAGGCATAAAATGATAACAAAATGCATTAATACAATTTATGATTCCATATTTTAATTTTGTGGGCGTGTCATAGATTCATGATATATATATGCTTCAAAGCCCGTACTTATTTATTTTATGATAATATGTGAAAACTAGAAATTGGATAACCATAATAATATTATGTTACATTACAATATAAAATGTATATACATTTAAAATTAAATTACCATAGTCTGCCATGTAGAAACATGTGCAACTCCACGAGTAAAAAAAATATTAGAGTGTACATTTTTTTGTTTTTAAACACATATACTTTTGATTTTTTAAGTGCGAATTAAGTACCTATATTTTTAGAATATTTAATTTTGTACTCATTAATATAATAGACGCAGTATAATATAAATACATAATAATTAATTACATCTACTAATGACGATTGTTATATTGTGTCTTAGAATGTCAGAGTTTTTGGCCGACTGCGCTGAACGTATTGTGGTTCTCGGTAAAGTCCACCGACGCGTTGTGAACCGTTTCAATAAATTTTGCCTCTGGCTCGGAATTCCTCTGCATAAAGTCCAACTCACCAAGCCCAACGAGTTGTGCCGTATCGTATCCGAGTTTTCGCTGGAGTACCGTACCACCAGGGAGCGTGTCATCCAGCAACTGCACAAGAAGGCTAGCCATCGGGAGCGGAACAAGACGCGGGGCAAGATGATAACGGAAGTCGGAAAAATCGACAAACAAGACGCCGCCGACACTGAACTCAGACAGCTGTTGGACAAAGACCCTTCGCACAACAGGGTGTTCTCGTGGAGGAATCAGTGTAGGCATTCCTTGGGTCAGTATAGTGCAATAAATATGGAACAGTGTGGGGCATAGGCGCAATTTTTAAGGAGCGTATTTAAGCCCCCCTAAGTTTTAAATATATTCATTCTTAAATCCACCCAATATAAAAATTATGCGGGTCTATATTGATTTTATAAATTTAGCCTCCCCCCCTAAATCAGTTGTCCAAATTGCGCCTATGATGGTGTGGGGTAATAATTATTTGAATTTTTACGGTTTAATCGACCGTTTTTGGTGCGCAGGAAATACAAACGGTGTTCACATGAGCAACGACGACGACGAACTGATCGAGAGCCTGGTGAAAACGGTCACAGCCACGGCCGGGGCGAACACGAGAACGACGCAGAGGGAACGTAAGAGAACCAAAGACGCTCATAGAAAATCACGTGAGTACGAGGCATATATTTGGATATAACACGTTACAAAGACAACAATTTATCTGAATATGTTTAATGACTATTACGCAGTGATCAAAAGGTCTCGGACTAGGGATAATATACCAAGGCAAAGTAGCAGTCACTCTCGTAATTCGATGTCGTAGTCTTGGTAAATTTATAATTATTGTGTTCGTTGTTGTGTTTTGTGTTGTATTTTTCGTGAAAATGGCTGCTAAATCGTTTAAAATATTACAATTCAACCGATTTTTATATTTGCTCGTATTTTTATTTTGTGTCGTTTTGGTTTTTAAGAAATTAAATATAAACCGTCGACGAATATATTTTATACCTTAAGTGTATGGATGTACTCTTCAGTCTTCGTCTTAGACGACGTTCATTTAGTTTAATTAGACATTAAGTATAATAGTAATATTAGTACCTATGTATATTGGCATCAAAATATCAAATAAAAATTATTAGGCGTAAAGATGTAGAGTGTATTAGTTAAACGGCCATCGTAACGACTAGAAGTATTATGTTACTGTAGTTAACTATCACGTACTTATATGTGACTTGTTACTTGATTTGTTGATTCGTAGACGTATAGAGTATCATGTCATGTTGGAAAATACTGTTTGATAAGTTACACAGTTTTTTAATAGTTTGACAGTTTGTATAATCATATGCAGTGGCGTGGTGAAGTCTTTGATTATTAAGGGTGAAATAAAATATCTAGGAATATCATCCACCCACCCATCCCTTATCCACCAACCAGTATTACCCTCATGTTAAATTAATAAATAAAATATTTCACCTTGCGTTATAGAATATTTAGTTCTTAATTAATAATTATTGTAATATGAGTAGGTATTATTTGAATTTTAATCATAAAGCTGCTATGATATACATATTTTAATTATATAACACAATCAAGTAGAAATTACCCATTGGACATCACATAATTGAGTTCTTGAACTTCTTATACCCATTTTACAAAATAAACACATAGTGGAACCGTCCCTGAAAACCGTAGGGTCACCACGTCTTGTTTATATTCAAGGCTGGGCATTAAAGATTTAAAAGGTTAAAGTTAAGTTAAAAAGATAATTTTATTTTAACTTTTTAACTTAACTAGTTACTTTTGGCTTTTCATTAACTTAACTGTTAACTTAATAAATTTCTTTTTTTATTAACGTGAAATTAACCAGTTAATTTTTCATTTTAAGAAGTAAGTTAAGTTAATTTATTTTGTTTTTAATTTTATTATATTTTACTAATACAGTCTATTTCGTTTTCATGTCAAAAAATATTTACCTTAAATTGTTTAAAGTTTAAAATTTCTACCATTCAAATCTAACGTCTATGGAAATACTGTATAAAATAAAAACACTATAGTCTATAATTTAGTTTTTTGTTGGAAAAAAATTAAAAAATTAAGTAGGTACACTAGCGTTGTATAAACAAATTAACTTTTTTTAACTTGTGTATTAACTTTTAAATGAACTGAGTTAACCTATAGTTATATTAACTTTTAACTTTTTGTTATTGTTACATATTAACTTAACTGAGTTAAAAAAAATCATTAACTTGCCCAGCCTTGTTTATATGTAGTGAGCATATAATATTGTTACACAGTGTTCTGTAATACCTAGCTATAGTTGTGAATTGTGATTCCTAACCTTTGTCTACCTTTAAGAAATGCTCTACACATTATATTATTGATACATTCTGATTCTATACCTGTTTACAGTGAGGCGTACGTTGCGGAACGGTCTGAGCGACGAAGACAAAAAACATTTGGCATCATTCATAAAGGGCTACTGAACTGTGATATCCATGACGTCAAATATCTTATGACTGAAAATAATATTTTAGACGTTTCTTAATAATTTTCCTAATTCATTTTATTTTTACTTATATATAATATTTAAAACTCAACAATTATTATCAAACTATTCTTATATTTCCTATTTTTTTGTTTTTGTTAATTTTTTTTTTTTTTTGGTCCTTCCTTCTACGTATATTATTATTTTATAATATAATCATACTTCAAACGGTATGTGACATAACCCAACTGAAATGACAGCATTTATCAAACTGAAAAAAAAATACTGTTAGTTATATATTTTATGCATTTATTGAAAAGTTTTGTAATGTATTACAAACTGTGAATAAACGTTGTTAAAAAATCAATCACATCATATATTTCGTGAAATATTTTAATCCATTATTTGTCAACTACTTGCGTCGGTTAAAAATTAAAACCAGGAACATTGCTCAATAGGCAGGTGCCATTAAAAAATTGTACTGTAGAACTATAGCTTTATCGATATTATTAATTTAACTGTGTATGTATAATGTATATATGTCGAATGTCCCTACAGCCGTTGGTGTATTATTTTTCCGCAACGTAAATTTTGTCGTGTTGAATTTTGCCATGTAAGATAATGTTATCATTATTAACAATATTAATTTATCGACGGATGTACGAACCGGGACATAAAAATATAAAATGCCTACATAGGACCATCGTCTCGAAGAGCTTATATAGTATTTATTTATTTTATGTAGGTACTGCTGTAGTCGCCACAGCGTGGGTACCTACGGTGCAAGACGCCAACACGTTTTGTCCATCATTATGCAATACCTATACTTAAATACGGATTTATTATAGATTTCCATCGCGTCGTCTAAACGCGAGGCGTATACAGCGTGAAAACCGGACAAAATGTAGAAATAAAAAACGTTAACGACGTTTAAAAAAAAATGTATATATATTATATTATAATAAACCATGTCTCGATGTTCTTGGAAAAAAAACCGTAGTTGACGATTTTTATAGTCGACAGATGCGCTTGTGTAAGTACCGTAAAAAAATATAATGACAATAAAAGTCGTACACGATAATAATTATTATATATATATACCACCTCGGCACTTTAAATGGGCTGCTGCATATGCGCCCCGACATCATCAGAGATGAAAAAATCGACGCGGCGTAAATTGCAGCGGCTTGAAAAAAGCATAATACATAACCTATATATGTCTTTATTATAATGTGTGTGTGTGCGCAGGCGCGGACTGGTAAAATAGGGCACGGGATGCTACACAATTTAAAGGGCAAATAACAAAAGTTTTTGGGTGTCAAATTTACAACATGTAGATTGCTTATAAAATATTAATATATCATATTTTGTTTTAAAAAACGTAAATAACAATAAATTTTCAATCAAAATTGTACAATATTATAGATTACCTACTAATAATCGTAACAGTTGGTAACGATCTGCTGTTCTTTAGGACGTGCAGTCTAGAGTCTTTAAATATATAATGAATAATATTAAGCAAATATATTTTAGTGCATGTCATTATTGCCAAAAGTTTGGACATACGCAAAACTATTGAAACCACGTTTCCCGCTGCGTAAAATGTGGTGCGGAACATCACCAAGGACCCGAAAAGTCCTGCCAAGTGTGCACTTTGCTCGGGGGATCACACAGCAAACTTCAGGGGATGTCCGGTTTTCAAAAGAGCTAAAAAAAAATAAGACCTTCAAAAGCACCTCCAGCCAAAGTTCCGGAGTCAAACCATCATTCCAGTCCGAAATCTTACTTTGAAGCCACCAAGATTCAAGATTCTTCCACAGATCACATTTCCGTCATACCATGTAATTTTATTACTAACCTCGACTCTCTAATCAGTCCACTAATTACTCTCCACTCCTCAGTTCTTAACACACTAATCCCCATAGCTTGATTATCTCCATAATTATTTTCGTAAAATTATCCTCATTATAATAACATGATAGTTTATCATGCAAGGTTATTATACTTAATACCTCACTAATTTTCTAAATACCTATACCGATATTGAGTCTTTGTATCTAAATAATTAAAATTAGGTAGTATATTTCTTATCTCGTGTTTACCTATAGGTAATATGTAATAATATTATATTATAATCATTGTTGAGCTATATAATAGTGTAACCTGAAAGGTAATAAAAAAAAAAAATATTTTAGGGCAAGCATGTGTTGGGGTGTGTGTGTAGTTTGTTCCAGACAGGTTGTGTCTTCGGTGGGAATCGGACGAGAGTCGTAAAATTGTCACGCTTCGAAGAAATCACGTACGACGCATAGTGCGTATACGGACGGACGAGATGGGCAGACGCCGGTTCGAGCAGTGCACATTATACGGAGTAATATTATTATAATATCAGTCGTTTAATGGTTAGAATTCGACGCGCTTTGCTGACCCAGTCGGGGTTTACCGGACGGTGTTGGCCGCTGCTCAAATTTCCCGAGAGCAACGCGTGACGTATATTATAGTATAGGTAGAGGGTACCTTACTGCAATAATTATACGGTACAGTCACAGCGTCATAGCTGCAGTGGTTCACAACCTTTTTGAAACTGCCACCCACCCCGAGAAGCAAAATATTTTTCAACGGCCCCCCCCTCCCTACCTCTTTAAAATAAAAATAAAAAATATAATACGCGCGAAAAGCTTATAATATTGAATAATAAATAAAATATAATGTAAACATAATGTTTAAGTACCTACAATGTTTAAACACAATTTAAGTGGATGAAATAAAATTGTTTTGAAATAACTGTACTGATCAGTGAGATGGTTCTTCTCGGTGATTCAAAGCCAGTTTTTTTCATGTTTGGTTCAAACCTTGTGAGACGGAGGCGTATAAGAGTCCACCTTTAACGATTATGTCGAGTCGATTTCTTTTTTCCGCTATTAGATCCGTCACCACACTGAATTCTCAGTCAACGAGATAGAAAGGGAAGGAAATTATTAATATTTTTTTTACGACGGTCCGCTACAGTATATTATACTATATAGGTTCGACTGATGGAGCCAACATTAATTTTTTTACGTTTTTATGTAAATACATGCTCATCAACGCCCAACGGCCCTATTATGCATGGCGAAGTGATCGCCTGATAGCCCGCGAGTACGACTATAAATTGTAATATTATATTATAAATTCAGGCATCATGCCATCAATTGCCAACAAAATATGAAAAAAATGTATTTTTGACCCAATTTCATTGACTGTATAAACATATGAAAATGTTTGAAAATTTAATAAAAAGTTAACCACAAGTTACTATAATAGCAGTTGAAAAATATTAGGAGACATTGGAACAATTTTTTTTTCATAAGCATTTGAAGTTCAAATGTTGACAAAACTCATCAAAATCATGATAATTTGCAAATTATTTTTCAGTTAAAAACATAATAAATGTTTAATTTGTATAGCTTTAAGGATTGGAAATTCAAATCAAGGTACCTATCTTAATATGAAATTATGTTTTGACGGAGACCGGAGACTACAGTCTATTCTGATTTATACCCCTATCAATGAAAAACTATACATTTCGACGATTATTCAGATGTCACTTAGTGATCGGTGTAAAAAGTCTGAAAAAAAGAATAAAATATAATAATGCATATTATAAAGCAACAAAGAGCATAATATACATTTTTTTTAAGCGCAAGTCTTCAAATATTATAGTTATTGCGAAAGGTAGTGTGTTGTCTAAGTGAATTAAGAACCAGTTATTTATTATGTGTAGTTATTGTATGACCATTGTTTAAAAGATACGAGAAATCTATACCTATCATAGTGTTTCGCTTATATATTGTTTACATTACAATATCGTTTGGAGACGTTTAAAAATAAACTATATGGGACACAATTCAGAATTAATTTAAGTGCGAATTTAATTAATCTTAGGTAGGTATACATCATCATGTATTCCATTGTTTGAACATACTATTAAATATTACATTATCTGTTCGTATTACAACGATAATATCCCCCCTCCCTCACTACAGTAAAAAATAAAAAAACCGGTGTTATCATCACTCACTCGCACCACAATAGGTGGCGAGGAGCGTTTATATAAAGTAATTATGACGATATAAGTGTATGAGTTGTGTTAGGTATAAATCATAGTTAATGATAGCCAATCGTAGGCGTAGTATCAAATAATTGTTATTGAGAAATTATAATAATCTGCTGTTTAATTAGAAAATATTATATAGTGAGGTATTGAGGCTGGCCAGGGTACGAAAAAAATTACAAATTGCTATTGGCTAGTGACATCACCCTGATGAGGGGATATTTCTTAACAAAATTACCATGGTTAATTGGTAGGTAAAAGAAATCCTTAAACCTGGTTGCTCACTGGTGCTACCAGGGACACGAATATCGAGTCGTTCTAACAGACGGGGTGCATAAATATTTCCTTCAATAAGACCATTAATAAAACGACAACTGGACACATTACGACGTTCATGACTGCAGTTAACGATTTAAGACCAAGAGTATTTTTGATATGATTATAGTCTTGGTCAATGAGAGTAAAGTTATTGATGTTTAAACAAAAAAATATTTAAATATATCAAAATTGTGTACCTTATGGTGTATAGAAAGCGAAAATATAAACATTCAGTGAAATGTTCATGGATCTATACAGTTATTCGCTTTTGAATTACAACAAAATAAGAAAATCACCAACTTGAGAAATTGAGTGAATATTGTAAACATTTGAACTTCAAACGCTCATAAACATTTAATGTTACTTTCTTATAGGCATGTTTTTTTTTTGATAAATGTAGATAATCTTATAAGGAATCTTGTATTACATTTTAAAATCTTAGATTTAAAAAGAAAAATTTTTACGAATTCTCAACTCAAAATAATTTAAATCTAAATAATACCACAGTTGGACAACAAAGTTCAATTAATAAAGGCACACAATTATGTAAATAACTAATAATTAATTTATATAGCTTTAGTACATTTAATTTGTTTAAAAGTTTTGTTTGTACATTAAATCTTAATCATATAACTATTTAATAAACTATTATAAAATCTTACTTTTTTATTAATAAAAATTGTATTTAGAATTTAGATCTCACCCTCTTCGGTATAAGCTTTTAGCTTATGAAGGGGTATAATTGTTCTTTTATATACTAAATCTACATATGCTTACTGTAAACATTATTTACAGATTGTATTTTAAATAAATTGTAATTTCAAAAATGTCAAAAATAAAAATAATTTGCACATTTTCGTTATTTAAAGGTTTTTGTCAAAATTCGAACTTTAAATGCTTAGGTATAATAAAAATGATGACGGGATTTTTAATATTTTTCAAACGTCACTATAGCCATAATATATTAGGAGCCTTTTATTAAATGTTCAAGCTTCTTTACTCAAAAAATGAAATATTGAATGGATTAGTTTATTTTAACTAGAAGTGCGAAAATATAATCTCACAATATCTACATAAATCATAAAGAATGGTTATTATAGGTATACTCTGCAGTTTTGTAGTGTTCGTTATCAAGAACATTATTTTGGAGTGTATAGAATCGCCGAATAAATGATTTACTCAAACACCGAATAATCACAGAGGTAAAACATACAAGCACAAACAAAGTACTCAACGGTTTCTACCAGACAACTTAAATTATTGATAAGATTTAACGTAAGTCTATATTAAATAAATATTTTAATATTCATTCTAAACCGGTTTACGCCTAAAATAATAAAATGTAATTAAAAAATAAAATAACGACAAACACGTTGTTGAAACTTTAAAGATAAACTCACTAAAGGCATTTTAAAAAGTCTGCGACTATAATGTTATTTACGATATTATGTCAATATTAATTCGTAGGTACCTATATCTATAAAAAAAAAACCATAGCACGCTACTCGATATTTTTCCTCTACAATAGGAAAATATATGAATAATAAATATGTGTTTGTTAACAATAGTAACCATGATAACGAAAACCATACGAAAAATCGGTCGGAAACATTTGATCGTGTATCCAGCTCAAAATATTATGTCCATAGGCGAAACGAGACACTTTTATCAGGGCAGGCCACATGCCGAATATAAAAAAAAAACTTCTATTAACAACTTTATGTAGTAATTTTGTTTAATGTACATAATATGTACAAATAATGTATATATTATATACGAATATTTTTTGACAATTGAAATATTTAATAATAAATAAAAAGTTATTAGTTTTCACATGAAAATTATAAATAAGTATAAAATAGATAAATCTATTAAATATTAACTATAATAATATACTATTTTTATTCATTACGGTATATTAAACAATATTATAATATTATCTAAACAAAAATTAATTTTATATCATAAGAAATTTCGTCTAAATATGTGGTAGTGTGGTACCTACAGCTTACAAATAAATTGTACTTGTATTATTATGTTCATTGTGTAGTGCTTACAATTTAATTTAGAAATGTTAACAATGTACGTTTACGTGTATAAATATATTATTTATAACACCTAAATAATTATTAAAATATATAATATATACAAATTTTTAGTCGGTATTAGGTCAGGCCATGGCCTGTCTGGCCTGACCAGTAGTTTCGCCTATGATTATGTTTATGTTAAAAAATTTTACTGCATACTCATGCAGACCTACTACGTCAAATAAGTGAATTGTAGAAAAGCGACGGAGATGTGGAGCAACTTTCAATTTGCTTATATTTTTATATTTATTCATAATATTTATTGTTACAATATTATTAATATTATTCAATTGCACACTTTAATCGTATGTACGTTAAATCAGGTAAATAATAAAATATTATATTATGCTTTGGTAACCTTTGATGTTAAACAACCTTAATTTATTTGTTTACAAACACCTCTATATGTTTAGCCCTGCTTAAATATGTCACTTGCAACGTATTTTATATGAGTCACGAATCTCACGATATGATATATAACTATAAATCGTGTTATATATAATTATAATATTATGCTCCATGCAGCTGGTATTTATACGTATTATGGCAACTAATTGATTAATTTCGAAACAAAATTATCATACCTGTTCGTTAATTAAAATATAATATACTCGTATAATTCTAAGATATGTTTATAATATATTGTTTAATTCCTGGAATCACAAAACAACCATACTATAAATAGTTTTGTTAATTTTTGATTAATTATTGTAATAAATGTGTAAGTCATTATATTATGTTATATCAAGTTCTCAATTTATTAAAATACATATAAACATATATATAATATATAAATATATGATACAATTTGTGTCAGGCTAATACTATCTGTCTACTATTTAATATTCTACGCTATAATTTGTATACAAAATTAGCATTTACAAAATCGTTAAATTAGTAAATTTAATATTTGTTGTAATTATTGTTGCAAACCATCTGTTTCAAGTATGTTTGGATGTTGGATTCCAAAGAGTGTTGGATGAAACGTTCTAGATTGTTATCGATTGCGGACACGACTTCGGGACGGAGATTGTTGTCCAAGTTGTAGTTTAGACCTTGTACATTGATGTTGGTGGAGATGCTGTCGCATGACTGTTGTTGATCGAAGGACCACTTGGTAAGGTAGACTCGGATGTAGATTTTCTCAACGTCGAACTTTGTACGAGGTGTGTTTACTGTCTTACCGGCTGACACGACGTTCAGAGTGGAAGTCCATGCGAGTTTGTTAAGGGCGAAGTCGTAAACCATTGTGTAAGAGTCTTGCGATTTCCTTTGGAAAGTCATCGACTTCAATAGTTGTTCAGTGGCAGAGGCCAGTTGTGAGTTTTGGAATTCGATGTTGGACATTTCGATGGCGACGTTGCCTTCCTGCCACATCAAGTCGAATAACTTGTTGTTTTCTGTGTTCTGGAGAACGATTGGCTTGATGATTTCGTTTTTGATCTGGGCGAGCGCATTATTTCTGGCTGACCTCTTCACTTCGTTGGACACAGCGTGGGCTAACACTCCCAAAAATCTTTGCAGAGCTGGGTTGAACGCTTGGGTCTCGGAACCGTCTTGGGTCTTGACGTTAGCGTCGGCGTTTTGGAATCTCGCTGACCTGACCACGGAGTGATTGTCGTTGTAGAATCCGGTCGACAAGTTGCTGTTCACGTTGTTCATGACTATTGTGTAGTAACCCGAACGGGCGCCGAAAACGTCAGAGTTGTATGATCCGACGGTTTCGATCTGGTTGAAATGGTACTGGGCGAACACGGTGTCTTTTTCGGGGTTCAAGTACATGTATTTCAATTTACCGTTGTCCATGTTCTTCATGGTCGAGTTGTACAAGGACACGAATTTGTTGTCGGACAATTTGATGGAATTTCTGGCGACGTCCAACTCTCCGTTCAAGTAATTGATGTTGTCGGCGATGTTGTCGTTGACGGCGATTTCTGGATGGTGGCGATTTTAGCGGCGATTTTCTTGGCGAGTTCGTTGGACTGACCACTTGTAGCTTGGTTTTGGCTTCCATACTGTTGTTGTTGTTGTTCCTGTTGCTGTTGTTGTTGTTGTTGTTGCTGTTGTTGTTGTTGACGTTGTTTTTGGTTTAAGTTTTCGTTCAAACCGAAATGGGTCTCGTCGTATTGGCTGTTCTGGTATTTACGGCTGGCGAATGTTGATTCGGAGTTGTCGTTGTTGTTCATGATGTGCTTGTTGAATTGGTCGTTGTTGTTGAAGATTTTGGAATCATCTGTATTCTGATCGAAAAGGATTGCTCCCACATTGAACGATTCATCACTGGAGTCTGTTTGTTGGAAACGGAACCACTGGTTTTCTAAAATCAATAATTACCGGTAAATAATATTTTTTAGTACAATAATAATATATCGATATTTTTTATCTAAATAATTTATGTGTTACAATTTTTTTTATTAAAAACGGGTACTCACGGTTGTCATCCTGGTTGTTGTTGTTGTTGTTGTTGTTGTTGATTCTGTAGGCACTGACTCCCAGAGCCACGCCAGCCAAAAGGACGGATGCAATTACCAAAGTAGACTTCATGTTGGTAGTTCAACTGACACTGGTACCTCATCGTTATGGCTGGCCGGTATTTATACGATGGCCAGAGTATCGAAAATTCAGCAGTCAGCAATATGAATTGCAGCTATAAGCCTATAATAGCTGAAGAAAAAATAGATTATCATAATATCGCACATTCGTATTTTGACCTACCTATTTTATGATTAATGTACAGAGTTGGTTTTGGTATACATTTTACGATTATCCAAACACTATTATTGGCAGTCGGATATTACATTCGATTAAAGTCAAATCATCCTTAAAATATGCTAATATTAATCACCGAAAACATAAATATACAAAATTTTATTTTGTTAACTTTTTTTTTTAAATCAACTTATCTTAATCACTATTGCTAGGTTAAAAATTTTAATTTTTGAACCGTATAATATATATTATATACCTATTTCTAAAATATCGGCAAACATTGAATTCGAAATTGTTTCATATTAGGCATCTAAAGCGTGTATTTTAAGAACATATAGTACCTATAATTGGTAAGTTAAGGTTTTATTTTTATGATTTTTAAATCACTATTAACAACCTTATTTAAAAGATAAATAATATAAATTTATAATCATTTTCAAAAAAATAATGACTTTATGTGTTTTAATATTGGAGTACAGTATATTTTTACTAAAATAATATTTTTAAATGGGTAGACACATCTATACCAATACAAAGTAATTAATCAAATTGTCTTTATTTTAAAAAATACATATTATTCTAAATAAAAATGACCAAGGAACTTTTTTTAGTTCAAATTAACAACATACATTGTACACTGCCACTTATGTTAAGGATAAAAAAAAACCTCTTTTTGTACATACATTAATGTACATATTATTATAATCAAATGTTTTTATTTAATGAACCAATAATTTCAGCTCTTAAAATTAGATTTCTATAACTCCATTATTATTTATTCATCCAATACCTACTTAATATTATTTATTTATTATTTATACTTCGATAACATAAGTGTACATGATTTAAAAATGCTATATTGATTAATTATTTTTAACCGATATAATTATAGTTGAATATTACAGCTTTTACTTATTTTTATTATTGGCTAAATTTATTTTAAAAAAAAAATCTGATGTTCTGAATGTTTATTCAACATACAGTAGGTATATTAATTAAGTAGTCAAAATAGTGATAAAATGTTGATGAAAAAAATAATCAAGTTCATAACATTTTATCTTAACTTTTAATTAAATGTCAATTTATGATACGAAAAAAATCAATTTTTATGATATATAAAGGTTGAAAAATATATAATTTAATATAATAGGTACTTTATTTATGTAAGTTTACATATGTATAAAAATGCATCTTTTACAAATTTTTAAAAAGTTTTTTTCACACACATTATATAAAATCTGATGTTCTGAATGTTGATTCAACATGGAGTATATCAGTAGTCAAAATAGTAATAAAATCTTGATGAAAAAAATAGTCAAGTTCATAATATTTTATCTTAACTTTTAATTAAATATAAATTTACAATAAGAAAAAAATCAATTTTTAAGATTTATAAAGATTAAAAAATATATAACTTAATATTAGGTATAGGAACTTTCTTTATGTAAGTTTATGTATATAAATGCATATTTTACACATTTAAAAATAATTCTTTTAACACACATTAAATAATTTTTTTTACTTAAAAGTGTTAATAGATATTATACAGTCGGTTCCAATGATATTGAAATAATAATCAGAAACTGTTATTTTCATGGCCAATTATAAATAATATATTAATATGATAACACAATGAGGACTTATATGTTATTATGAATTGTAAAAAAAGTTGTAATTGAGCTCTCGTGAATGAAATTCATTCCAATTTATCATATCAATTAATTGTACGTAATAATTAATTCACTTAATTTTGGAGGTTTCATAAAATAGACAAAAAGAATCCATTCAAAAAAAAATTATAGGCATGTACCTACATGAGACACTCTCTGTTGAGTGTAAATATTTATGTATATATAAAAAAAATTAAAGGTTTAATTTATCAATTAATGTTGTTTTAATTCAGTGTTAAGTCAGATAATGCAGCTAGTATACCTATTATAAAAATATATAGGCATCTATGTATGTATTGTATATAAATTAAATGGAAACATTAAATTTAACACGATTTAAAGTAGCTTGGAATATTGGCTACATATTTTGACATTTTGACATTATTTTACAGTATCATCATTAAACACAAGATAAATTAAAAAGTCAGTTAATCGCATTTACTTTGTTCGTGATTCTTTTTACTTTCCAAAAATCTGAGTGGTACTATTTGGAAACCATTATTTTGAATTCATTTATTTTAAAATTTAAATATAACTGACCGTATTTTACAATTTAGTTTGTCAAAATTACACAAGTAATTTCATTTCTCATTCAGATTGCAAAATTTAATAATTAAAAATGTAATTTAATGTCAAATAATCATGACACAATTGTTTTTAAAATTCGACGATTAATATTGTCAGCATAAAAAGTAATATGTAAGATTCTTAACCGATTATTATAGGTATCCAATCAGAGTGAGAATAGTCAATATTAAAAAATGGCAATTCAAACTTAAAATATTTAATTAAAATTAAATTAAATTGACTATCGCTGTATGAAAACTATAGAATAGATTAAGTTAAAAATAGAAATAATTTATCGGTAATTTATTGTTAAATTATATGTAGAAAAATATTCAATAGCATTACATATTTATTAAGAAATAATTGATAAGCTAAATGTATATACATTTTTCAGAATTTGCACAAAGTTATAATACACAAAGTTTTAAATTCTAAGAAGAGCGACGAATGTATTGATCATAATAATATATGATATATAGGTACAATGAAAGTTTTATGTTTTATGACATTTTACAAATGTCAACTTTAAGAGCAGTAATAAAGTTTCAATTTTCTACGTTAAGGTTGGTTTCTAGTGACAAATTAGATTTAGTTAATACTTAAACCACTTATAAAAAGCCTCAGTATTTTTCGAAATTATCGAGTAAAACTAAAATAAAATTGAGAAGAAACTGGAATTTCTACTCTAAACCATTTTTTGAATAAATCAATTTTGTTTTCAAATATTTTGGCTCTTTTAAGCATTTGAAGTCTTACGAAATTCTTATGATTTATTGAGGTAGTTTTAAGATATTTATAACCACGAAACCTACTCACATCATTATATATACGTTTCTATACCTACGTCCTGTAATATTGATTATAAGTTAATAATAATAATTGTAATTTAATAATATAATATAATACATATTATTATAATCTGAGAACGTTAATTGGAAAAAAATTAGTCCGTCCTAACCATATTACTAGTAAAAAAATAAATTACCATAGTAGTATATAATTAAAAGAAATATATTATGTAAATTATATTGTTAAAATATATGTAGAAAAATATTAATAGCATTACATATTTATTAATGTAAACATTGATTGCTAAATGTAATACATTTTTCAGAATTTGCACAGTTATAATTACATATAGTTTTAAATTCTAAGATAGAGGACGAATAATATTAAATTTATGAATAAAAAAATGAAACTTGAAGGTACCAACTAAAAGTTTAAAAGTCGTCATGTTAAGGTTGGCAGTGGCACTAGATGTATATAGATTTAGTTAATACTTAACCATTATAAAAAGCCTCAGTATTTTTCGAAATTATCGAGTAAAACTAAAATAAAATTGAGAAGAAACTGGAATTTCACTTTAAATTTTTTGTTCAAATATATTAATATGTTTCAAAATATTTGAAGTCTTACGAAATTCTTATTATTTATTAGGTAGTTTTAAGATATTTATACCACGAACCTACTCACATCATTATAATATACAGTTTCTATACCTACGTCTGTATATTGACTTATAAGTTAATAATAATAATTGTAATTTATAATATAATATAATACATATATTATATCTGACGTTAATGGAAAAAATTAGTCCGTCCTACCATATTACTAGTAAAAAATAAATTACCAATAGTAGTATAAATAAATTATATGAAATATTCTTATTAAAAATGGACTCTGGCAAACAGTTTTCTCTCAGAATCGTTTTTTGCATGCAATATGTATTATCTCAATAAATTCAAGTTTAACACATATAATACAGTGTTCTACTAAATTAAGAGGTAATTATACACTCAAAATCGTCTATGTTATTATATATTTATACCAGAGCGATATATTGTGCCATTCTATATTAGTTTAAAAATAAAAGAATAAAATAATAATACTGACAAAGTGTATAATGTAAACAGTTATTGAAAAATAATCATTTTTTATCATTTATACATGTATAATTGAATATATTTTTGAACTGTTTAATAAGGAAATAATATTAAATTCAATGAATAAAAAAATGAAATCTTGAAGGTACCAACTAAATACCGCCTAAAATGTCGTCATGTAGACTAGACGTCGGCAGTCGGCACTCGATGTATATAATTTATTAATAATAATATTATATTCAGTATTTAATATAGGTACACCTTATATTATGATATCTAATATAGCAATTTAAATTTTATTGTTGCATATTATATTAAAATGTTCAAAATAGATAATTATCTAGAAATTCGAAAAACATTTAAACACGTGTGCCCAAACAAATTTAATGCGTTATTAATTAATTTTATGGTACAGCAGGTTATGATAATATCAATAGGATCATCAAATATATTTTAAAACTAATTTACAATAATCACATTAATACCTATTCGTACTGTTATGATAATACAAAGTTCAAATAATATCACTTCAACACGCTTATAATGCCTAATGAAATATTGATACATCGATTATAATATAATATACAGGATGATTTCCTAATCATGCCACCACCCTTTTATGATTTATTTTTTCATTATTTAAAATTTTATTTTTGGAATTTTTAAAAATAACTAAAAACCATAATTTAAAATACTTTCATTTTAGATAAAGTATATATTTATAGATCATTATTTTCAGTTACTTAGATGTTTTATACCATTTAAAGAGTGTCCTGAGGTAATATAAACTCATTGTTTTAAGTTGAGAACCACCTTATTCTACTATAAATTTATTGATAGTCGGATGATTTTTTTTTAAATATTGAATATTGATGCATCTAAATCAAAATTTGAACGAGTAGGTATAGTTTCTACTTTCTGAGTTATTTTTATTTTTTTATTTTTTTATTTATATATTTCAACGTCTAACAGCAATTAATGAGCTTTATGTAATAACGATATTGGTCCTTTTTAATGGTTTTATAAAAAATATAAAACAAATGTACCTAATATACTTAACACTTATTAATTATTATACTCTGGTAATTTATACAAAATATAACATTTTAGTAAACTAATATTAATTAATATAATTTAAAATCATTATAGAATATAGGCCCATATCTTCTAAGTTAATTATCAACAATAAATTACTATCCTTAGTTCGTAAAGATAATTAACTCAGAAAATACTCGTTAAAATGTCGACTTAAATGCATCAACATTTAAAAAAACTATCAGTTTCTAACAATTATTTACAGTAGAAAAAGGTAGAAGTTAATAATTAAGAAAAATAGAAGTTCATACCACCAAAAGACACGAACCTTAAATGGTAAAACAATTTTAAGTATTTTAAAACATGGTATGTTCATCTTTTTGTAGGTATACTTAAAAATTCCAAAAAGAAAAAGAAATTTTAATATTATATTCATTATTGGAGAAAAAACGTTACCCTAACAATCACAAATTGAATTTTGAATTTTTCGTTATCTTAAGACATTCTCGAAAAGTTCTAGAAATAGATATTAGGTATGTATTATATATAGCCATATAGGTACTATAATATTATATTCTGACAAGTCTCATCGTTCTGCTTCCTTTGTCATTAAAAAAATTTGAATCCTAAGGACTAACGTATGTTTTGGTCACGCTGTGTGACGAATAATATGGTGTTAAACGTGCGAAATATTGTCGTTTGGGTCCCAGCTCTTATCGTCTCCTCAACGACGGCTCTGACGAGTGTCCACGATAACGATTGATAGTGTAATATCATTCGATTGGATGAGGCAATTGAAATGAAAAAATATAAAAACTTCGATAACCGTTCACCTTCGATACTCTAGTAGACGCTTTCAAATACGGTCTGCAGTCGTAGGGCCACTTACAGAGACGTATCTCAATTCGAATTCGGAGGAAAATGTCAGCAAGTATTTTGATCGTGCTGGCGACAGTGGTGGCAGTCGCCGTCCGCGAATCTTCGGCGGTGACGAACGAAGCGACGTTCATCATCGACTCTGTGAATGCGGACCCAGGCAACACTTGGAGGGTAAATATTTTTGAAATTTCTGCACAGCCATCGAGTTCCATAAGTTCTATCACAACGCTAGTTATACGCTTAATGATAATATCATCATACACAGAATATGTTATGAACGATTGTAAACTCAGCCTGAATAAAAATATACACATAATATTTTAGAGAATCATTTAGCATTACAGAGGACACCTTGGGAAGGCAATTCTCATCATCCTCCAAAAATTATTTTCATTTTAATACTATTATTCATAATAGGAAATTCATTATATAAATGTAAAATTGTGTAAAAATGTAAGTAAAATGTATTTTCTGAATAAATTATGTCATGCTTATTATATTTTATTGTTCAAAATTATCGGGCCCAGTTTACATTTGCCCTATGTTATATTATCATTATTATATGTGTAAACTGCATCAATTACGCATGAAATCGCAACTATTACCCTATATATTATGATGTGACACTGGGGTATAATACCTGAAAATGATGTAAGAAGAAGACGTGTGAAATGTGTTTTTTATTATTTATCTTACGAGTCCGAGGAAATTTACAAAATGACAAGTCGATATTGGGAAATGTATAAAATGATATTATATCTAGTTGTTTTTATATTGTTAAAACTTATAGGCAATACAGTTGTATTAATTTAGTTATTTTTATAACGATATATTTAAGTTTGTGTGACGTTTAAAAAATACAAACAGATTGGCTTTTATTTTTCCACCAATAACAATTACTATACACCAAAGTTGTAAAATACTTGAGTACTTTCAGTAAACGTATTCAAATACTTTCTAAGATCTCAAACACGTAGTTTGAATACTTTTGTAAAAAGTACTTCAACAAAGTATTACTTTCTCAAAGTAGGTATGTGTATTTAAAATCTAATACTAATTATTTTCAAATACTTTAAAAATTATTTTTAGGAAATGTAAAATGAACATAGAAATTGAGAATATATACCTACAATAATATATTTTTTTATAGTGAACTATACTCAACCAAAAATCAAATTCTTCGAAAAAAGAAAACAGTTGAGTATTTTAAACTTCCACCAAATGATACCATGTCAAATATATGGCTAATAAAATTAAAGTAAAATATGAAAATCAGTTCAGTTGATTTATTATGTAATAAAAAAAATATTTTTCCGTGAAGTTTGCATCCCAACTTTGTTCGACTGGTGTCATTTTTTTTCAACAAATTCGCAACCATGATAATTTTTTCTGCAGTCTTAAAAGATGTGTTGTAATTTTTATTTTTTTTTCATCGACGTTGCAAATTATTGTAATGATGTAAAAAAAATTACACCGATTTAGAACCCATTGAATGAAGTCTTCAACGAGTTCACGTATATATTATGTAAACTTCTCAACAATATAATGATACTGAAATGACACACTTTAAAAGGATTTTATTTCATAAAAAAAAAAATAAGAAATAATAACGATATACTTATCCATCGAATATTTCGGCTATTGGTCAAGTTTTATACTTGATCGCGGTTTGCAGTTTTTAATTTATTATAACTCATAAGTTGTGTCTATGCGATGTATAACAATCGATAACCATATACTATTAATTGATCTCATTATTTTATATAATATACCTAGTAATATATTTATTGTATTTAATTACGATATTATGTTACCCTTATTGCCACTAACATTCATATACTATTACTACGTATAAATTCTGAAATAAGTAAAATCAAGTTTTTTTAGAATATTTTATAGATTATTTCTTCGTACAATCTTTGAATGATCTCTGTTATTTCAACGCGTCATAATAATTATTGTGAACATAACATAAAGCATTCTACTTGCTTACGCTAATCACAATGCTCAGAGTAGGTACTTATAAGAATATAACAATAGATATTAAATTTTCAGCTATACGATAGTTCTAATAAATTTCAAGTGTCCATAATTTACATTCCCTCCAAAATTACAAAATTACAAATCGTTGTGTAAAAAATTATTAAAATAATATGTAACCATCTAATTTTGACTATAGATTTGTCTAGCCTAGATTGGTGATTCACAAAAAAAAACAAAAAAAATGTTTTGAATATTAAATTTAAAGTTATTTAAAATATAAATATTTTTGTATCAGATACAATTTAATATACTAATTGTATTATATTATTGGTGTACAATATACGTTCATATCACGCAGTACGAAAACTAATACTCAATACTGTTTTAAATTGTTGAAACATGCTATGCACAAACGACCAAGCAATTTTTTCAGGTGGAGGATTTATGATGTATACAAACGTCAAACTCTGATTAATTTTAAAATTGTAATATCGCATGGACATAGGTAGAAAAATTTTGTGTAGAAGACGTAGGTATAGTCTCTTTGAATGTAATGATTTAAACTGAAAATGAAAAAAAGTTTAAAAATAAAGATTTTATCCCGGTCGTGTTTCAGGCCAGCGACACCAACGTCATCCCAGGAGACGGAAAAAACTTCAATCAGCTGATGGGCGTATTGCCCAGGAACTTCAACTCGCTTAGGTTCGCCCCGATAAAGAAAATCGTCGACGATGAATCCAACGAAGCTCTCCCCGAGAATTTTGACGCCAGAGAACGATGGCCCGAGTGCTCGTCCCTGTTGGGTTCGATCAAGGACCAGTCTAACTGTGGATCGTGTTGGGCGAGTATAAAATATTATAATATATATAAAGTATAAACACTAGGTGTAGGACGCATTCCATATTTTCCCGTCCGTTTTATCTACCTTTTGATTTTACAAAGTTATACTATTTGTATGTGTACCTACTTTTTTGGATATACTATTTGTTTATATATCTACGATATAATAATATACTCGTCGGTTTTTAGGACTTCTGAAAATATACTAGATACCTTATTGGGATCTTAACAGTGATTAAACCGCATAAGCCCAACATTTTAGTGGTTGATTTCTTCAATCTGCAGTGAAAAAAATAAAAATAGTATGAAGTTTACAAACAAAATAAGATTTATACCTAATAACAACTAACCTTTTTTTTATAAGGTTTTTTTTTTTTTTTTTATTGATCCTTAAGCCCGGCATCTATGGCCATTAGCTGTTAGTAGGGTTGTATTGTGGTGGTGGTAAGGTTTAGAAGTTGTGGGTTTTTACACGTGGGTGTTTGTGTTTGGCAGAATATTTGATTGGGTACCCGTAGGTATCTGTCATGGCCGGACTTGCCCGAAGAAAAATGCCGCCCCTGACCAAGAAATCGAACCAGCGCTAGCTGCGTCGCAACCGACGCCTTAGACCTCTCGACCACTCCGTCCCCCCCATAAGATAATAATTAGTTAGTAAAATAGTTAAAAGTACTATATACTATTAATATTATACTATATGTAATTACTGATATACTTAAATACACCCAAGTTTTAAACTGCAAAAAATAAGCATAATTTGAGTAATAGCATTTTTTCCATTAAATCTGGAACTGGTTGCCTAACCTACCTACATATTTTTATCTGAAATTTTATCACTTTACTAATATCATTTATTATCAATTAAAACACAGATGTTCGATGACGTACACTAATTGATTAATATTTTAATACATATCATACTATACACATTATATTTTATATGATTTCGATCACTATAACTTATTGTATTAATCATTCCTATGGCTCAATATAGGAAGCCGTTGTTTAAAACAGTTTTGTAAAACAGTTTGGTATTTAAAATAAAATATGTATTAGTAATACGGGAGGGTTCCCTGAAATCAAAAACATAAAAAAAATAGTGGAAGCTGAATTTTTTTTCTTGAACAAAAATTTGGTTTTATAAATATAAGTATTTCAAACTTCAAATTATAAACAAATAATGATTTTTTTTTTCAAAAACACAAAAATAGCTCCGATTAAAAAAGACCTTTCGTATCATATTATATAGTATTTTTAAATACCTTATATAAGTTTAGTGTTGAGTTTGGCCACATGTAGTGGTACGTAACTTATACTACTACCTACCGTTGAAAATAGATAAGCCTACTACAACTCTACTATCTTATAGTATTAGAAGTTAAGTGCGTACATAATATTATAATATCGACTCGAGTACTCTTATTTGCAAGCCATTTAATCACTAACCTCGAATCCCATACTTCGAATCATAATTTTAACGATACGATTAGTTATTATTTGAATTATTTCAAGTGCTATAATTATAGCACCTACATGATGAACTGTAAAATAAATTAAAATTTTTAAACGTCATGTAAGTTATAATAGTTATTACTTATTACGAATAATCTAGGCAACCCTCATTTTAGATTCTAACAATTTTAGACATTTTGTTTTAATTAAAAAATATTATTCGAGAGTACTTATTTTAAAGCATTATATTATTATATTTTATGCACACAATGACATTTTCAAATGCAGTGTTTTCTGCAAAAAATAATTCATCCTACTGTTAGTAATCCTACCTTACTACTCAAAAGTAAAATAAATGACTTTAATAGCAATAATATCATCAGATATACTTAGTAATATAGGCTGAGCTGAAGACGCTGTCTTCGCTCAGACCGATTTTTCTTATACAATGATTTTATATCATTGAATTCAAATTTAACACATCCAGTGACATCCACTCAATTATTATTTTGATGCATATCTATGCTTATGTCCAACCAAAACGTTCAAGATAAACAATGTGAATTTAAACCTAAGAAGGTATTGTCTTTTGAGTTTTGAATAGCAAAACGCTGAAAACAAAACGGTTAGAGTGATCTATAAAATAAATATTATTATTAATCGTTCGAAATAATATATTTTCAGGCCGTGTCTGCGGCTTCCGTGTTCAGCGACCGCCTGTGCATAGCCACCGGTGGAGCGGTGGCCAAAAATCTGTCTGCCGAACAGTTGAACACTTGTTGCTATCGATGCGGTAACGGATGCGACGGCGGGTCGCCAGAGTCAGCGTGGTATTTCTTCATGAGGCACGGTATCGTCACGGGTGGAGATTACGGATCCGGAGACGTAAGACGATAAATAATTATAATAAAACGTACACACTACAGTGCTTGAATTGAGAGACACGGACGAAGTCCCTCGACTTTTAAAAAAAATATTTTAACCTACCCCAGTAATCTTCTATAGTTAAATCCCAATCAAAAGAGCATTTTAAATATCTATAGTTGCGCAGATTATATTTTTCTTTATACTTTTGCATCTCCTTCTAATTTTTTTCCAATTCAAGCACTGTAACACACATAAATTGGTATTTTATGGCATAGGCTTTAAGTGTAGATTATTGGGGAGGATCATGTGATATTCGGGTATAACCAATCCTCACAGCTATCCGTGTGATTACTAAATGAAATCATCATTGATAACTGATTTCAAGTAATCACCATTGATTACAATCGATTAACAAACACTTTCCGTTTATTATATAATCTAACGCCGGTGCTCAATATATAACATTACCTATACCTATTGTTTTTTTTTCGTGCGAAGGGTTGTCAACCGTATAGCATTTATCCGTGTGGGAAAGGAAGGAATACTTGCATAGACGATGATCCAGACACTCCAGATTGTTCGATAAAAACTTGCACCAACTCGAACTACTCGAAAAACTACAGAGCTGATTTGCATTATGGTAGGTACCTACTGCAGTTTATTATAGATGTACATTGCAATATTTAAAACATTGCAGGTGTCGTCGGACCTGACGTGACAAATTGTCCACATCAGTTATGATATAGTCCATTGACTGTATTTTACCTTATTACATAATTTATTATAAAGTAAAAAACCTACTCTATGGTTGCATATTAATTGATTTATAAAATGCGTTTTTAGTTGATTCCGTATACTCGCTGTCGACATCCGAAGAAGACATCATGAAAGATTTATATAAAAACGGTCCCGTCCAAGCGGCTTTTTATGTGTATACAGATTTCATGTACTACAAAAGTGGTAAGTTTTCAATCCTCATGACTCGTAATATACTAATTTTCACCGTATATACGACAGTCAATTCGAGAGTAATAATAATAATAATAATAATATATACTCAATACGTCACTATATAAAAATCTATGTACTGTCATAGAATCGTAATGTTTATATTTTTAATTTAAAACTATATATAGGTATATATATTATTGTGTTGATCGTTGATTATTGACTAATATATTTTCTTTGTTGTATGTAGATATGTTTTTGGGCTGGGTACAGATATTTTATTTTTCTAACAGATTTTGCAAAATAGGCTTTTTTGTTTCCATAGTTACTTATTAACAAAAACTATTGATACCTATGCATAATATACGCGTATTATAGGTACAATAGTATACTATTATATTAAATATATTATATTTAATTGATTGTAAAATGGCCTAATATTGTTATTGTTAAAAAAATAATTAACTACAAAATCGAACTAACCACATAATGTACAAACAAAATTATATATCACATGAAGATTGTAAAATAAAAAATTATTCAGATTTCGGGTTAACCAGAATGTTTCATTCGGGTTTTGGTTGATTCGGGTGTTTTGAAAATACAATCATTCGGGTTATATGGGTTTCGGGTGTTTGATTTTTGAAGGGGTTTTTAAGGGTTGTTCGGGTTCTGGTTAATTCGGATGCGAGGCCCTGCGGATACACGAATAAATATATTAAAATATATTTTAAGATGTCTAAAACTTAAATTGTCAGTAATTATTTAATTAAAATATTTCTAGGCAGCGTTGCCAAATCGAATTAGACAGTTACAATATTATGACTTGTGATAACTGAAAATGACTGATTGCCGAAATTATAACAGTACCTCGTACCTATATCATAATATTATAGCTAACGTATATTATGTATAAATTAATACTTTTCATTACAACAATGCAATTATATGAGTTTTGCTTTGGTTCATGTGTCTTGTTTGGTTTTTGTTCTGTATATCAAAGGAGTGTACAGTTACACCAGAGGTCAGATAGAAGGTGGTCACGCGATCAAGATCTTGGGCTGGGGCGTTGACGACGGTACCAAGTATTGGTTGTGCGCCAATTCAGTGGAGCCGATCATGGGGTGAGAACGGACTGTTCAGAATACTTAGGGGCAACAACGAGTGTCACATCGAGGAACGAGTGGTAGCTGGAATGCCTCATGTACCGAAAATTATTAATTAACAGACGACAAAAAAATACAAGTACAATAATCGTCGGTATATTGTAACAAAAATAATATATTATAATAATATGTAGACGCGACAAGCGTTAGCCTTTTCTATATTGACCTCTGTCATCTACTTATATATTTTGTATTTACAATAATTATTATTCGCATAAATATTTATTTTATATTCATACTTCTTTAATTTTTTTAATCGGCTGAAATCGGCTAAATAATATACGATACCGAATAAAATATATTATATTAATTGATGGTCCTAAACTATGGTCCATATATTATATTATACCTACAGACAAATGTATATTTTCCGTTTATCATATTAAATTGCAGGTACGAGAATATGGTATATGTAGTGCTATATACTCCAGCTAAATCAGAGATCATTAATTAGGCAATAGCGATTGGATGATCATAAATATCTGGCCCGTAGACAAGGCATTTATTTCTGAAGTTAAAATTTTTGATGCGGTTAAAGAGACTTTCAATAGTTTCATTGATTTTTGGATATTTGAATAAAAATGTAGGTACAATAGGTACATTCAATTTTTAGGGGTCCCGAAATCTTCCTATAGTCTTAAAGTAGAAATCTAAAAATATAAATTCGTGATCCCTGTCCTATATAATATCTGTAGTATACTAGTACCCATAAAATAGTTTATTACGAATACCTATGGCAATTATTATTATTATTATATGTAAACTATAATAAACAACCGGCCAAGTGCGAGTCGGACTCGCGAAAGAAGGGTCCCGTACCATCATCTATAAACATGTTGGCAACATTATATTTTAGGATTTTTAGTGTTTGTTGTTATAGTGGCCACAGAAATACATAATCTGTGAAAATTTCAACTTTCTAACTTTCATGGTTCATGAGATACAGCCTGGTGACAGACGGACGGACAGCGGAGCCTTAGTAATAACTTTTACCGTACATAACACTTAAAAAAAACTATAACTAAATTATAATATTAATTGTATAATTCATATCATGTAATAATCGAGCTATTTTTGGACTATTAAATACGGTCTTGGCACCAACAGTTCGGAGCCAGGAAAATGTTGGGTTTTCGTTTATGCACCGATTTCAGTGTAATATGCCATGCATTTTATTAATATATATATTATAATGTATTTGTGGAAACACTTTGAGGCAGAATCTTATTTAATAATTAATAAGATTGTAGTTAATATTATTTATTGACATATTATCATCACTTTTATGATTTTGTCAAAAAAACATCAGTGCATTTTCAACTGAAGCAAACCGGAAACGATGAATGGATCGATTATAATAGATTTTCGGCTAATACAGATATTATTATTAGTCCGGCATTATATTAAATATAATGTTTAATTTTAATTTTCAATGACTCGTATGAAAATGCACAGTAAATGTTTTCGACCAATTTTGCACACATATTCTTGGGATCCCGGTTAGATCGTATAAGAGTATATTACCATAGAAGCCACGGGGGTACCAGTGATTATATCCTAAAACACAGTACAGGTTAAGACTTATGGAATCAAAAAATACTTGACCGATATTGACGATTCAATGAAGGTTTAGACAATTTATCATAGATTGAACCAGTTATTTAAGCTATTATTACAATACCGAATATTTAATTAAAATCAAAATTGCATTTGTTTCGATTTTTCAATTGGTTCGCTTGGGAAAAAATGTTACTATCTGTCACAGGTTAGTTTAGGATTGTTCATCTCGGTTTCATTTATCTCCGGGTAACACCATGTAATACGACAGCTATAGACTATTGCTAAGTAGTATCGTATAGCTAGCAATATATAATATAAAATCAGTGTCGGTCAAACGGGTTGATGAGGGGGATAGACCCCCCTCCCCACGACCTTTTTTTCAATGTTTAACAACTGGTAACCAAAAATTATATTTTTGACAATCAAATAGTGCATGTTAAAAAATCAGCAATGTCCCCCCCCCTCTCGGCAAAGTAATTTGACCGACACTGTATAAAACACTGCACATATCATATAGGTTGCTTATAAATACTTATAAACTTTTAGTCTTTAGATGTATCTTATTAATTATTACTTTATGAATTATAATATTATTGTTTAATATAATAAGTTATTGTAAATTATTATTATTGTTAATTAATAATTACACAGATTTTTTTTACCTATAAAAATTATACTATAAAGTATTAAGTATAAGTTTGATTTTCTATTTGAGCCATTAAAATGTTACTATGTTCATATCCTTCCTACGATATGTATAGGTTAAATTATAATATTATAGAGTTACAATATATTGTCCATATTATGTATAGTTGAATAATCCGTTCACAACAATAGGTAATAATATTATCATTATGTGTGTATTGTGTATGAACAATATTGACAATATCGAGCAACCAAATAAATGCAACAAATTTATTTAAAACAAACTATATTATAGTTGCACCATAACTTTTTGTCAAAATGGTATGTTATTTTTGTAATGATTATATAATTTCTAGTTTCCAGTTCTCAGTGTTCACTAAGATCGAAAAAATATTTCGAATTGAAATAGCCTTGTTTAGGTACCGATTGAACATAATTAATATTTATGTAATTGTTAAAATATATAGGTACACACACATAAGTTCCTGTATTAAATATTAAATTTATTTTGTATGCAATCAAATTATAAAACTATTGTAAAATTAAAAATTAAAGAACATAATATGCTTAAAGTTTATACTATTGCTTATTTTATATTATAATATATTTAAAAAACACTAATGTTTAAAAATAAATGAGTTGATTTAGTATTGGCGACTAGAGTTGCTTAATTCTTGCACCAAAGAATCTTGAAGGTAAGATCCCAAAGAATGTTCCATGAAACGTTGGAGATCGTTTTCGAAGTAGGACACAAGGTCGGACTTGACGTTCTTCAAGTCGTAATGGAGACCTCGTACTTCTACGTTGGTGTAAGCCTTGCCGTACAACTGTTGTTGTTGATCGCGGCCGGACTTGTCGATGAAAACTTTGACGATGATTTCATCGGTAGTGAATTTGATTGGACCTGTGGACGTCCTCACATTAGCCGACACGATGTTCATGGGTGATGTCCATCCCATGTTTCTGATGGAGAAGTCATAACGCAATCTGTAGGAGTCTTGGGATTTCCGTTGGAAACTCACAGAGTTCAATAAATGTTCAGTGGAGTGTACCAGTACTTCTGAGTTCGTGAAACCGATGTTAGCCATCTCCATGGTGACTTGGTCCTCCTGCCATCTTAAGTCGAACAGCTTGTTGGTGTTCTTTCTAGCAGTGTTCATTTGGGAAACGATTGGTTTGCGGATTTCGTTTTTAATGTGGACGAGTGCACCTTTGTTGGCTGACTTCATCACTTCGTTGGACACGGTGTTGGCCAACACGCCCAAATATTTATCTTCTATAGCCGGGTTCAACACTTGCGTTTCGGAACCGTCGTGGGTGATTATGTTGACGTCAGCGTTTTGGAATTTGGCCGCCTTGATCACGGCGTGTTTGTTGTCATTGAATCCAGTGGACAAGTTGCTGAGCACGTTGTTCATGATGACTGTGTAGTGACCTGAATGAGCGTGGGGGATGTTGGACTTGAACGATCCGACGGTTTTGACCTGGTTGAATTGGTATTGGGCGAACACGGTGTCCCTTGATGGGTTCAGGTACATGTATTCCAAGTCACCATCTTTAAGGTTCTTCATGGTCGAGTTCATGAACGACACGAAATTGTGTTTTGCGAATTTGACGGAGTGAGAGCTGATGGGGAGAGCTGCGTTCAAGGAATCGGCGCTTTCGGCGATATTGTAGTCGACGGCGATTTTCTGAATGGCGGCAATTTTCTCGACCATAATCTTGGCGAGTCCTTCGGGATGACTGGCGGCATTCAATTGGTTTTGGCTTTTGCGTTGCTGTTGTAGACCTAACTCTTGGCTGGAACCAAAGTAGGCATCTTCGTTTTGGTTGATCTGACGGTCGGCAAACGTCGATTCAGAGTCATAGTTGCTTCGGACGTTGTTGAACTTGTTGTTGTTTTGATATTCGTTGAAGTTCGACTCGACGGACTCATCGCTGGAGTCTCCTTGTTGCAAACGGGTCCACTGGTTGTCTACAAAAAACGATTGTATGATATTAAATCTTAGTAATTCGATTTCGAATCTGTGTGTGGACTGTGTGTATTTACTTAATATGTTTGGAGAATAATATTCAAAAAATGTGTATAAATATAGGCAGTAGGTACTTACTGTTTTCACGCTCGTTTTGGTTGTCGTTGACGTTGCGGGCGGCGACTTCGAGGGCCACGCCGACCAAAAGAACGGATGCGATAATCAAAGCAGACTTCATTTTGGATGATGACTCTGATGATGGACTGACACAACTGGTACCTCATTGATATGACCGGCTGGTATTTATATGGCGCGGTCGTTCGAATGTTGGCCATCGTAATTTGGGGTAGTGGAAAACTAGACGATTATTATTGTTGCTATTGTTATTATTATTATTATAGTCTAGCACATTTGTTACGAGTTAACAACTTAAATAATATTGCAACCGGCAGCAATCAGATGTATATAGTTGGTTTTCAGTTTTTTTCAACCTATTTGATTACGTGAGCAATTATTAACGGTAATTTTTACATTTTGGATTAAATATTTAATTGACACATCATGTATTTTAAATAACAATTTACAAGAATAATAATTAAAGCGTTTATGAATTTAGATATTATATCTGTGTTTGCAAATGAATATTATATATATATTTTAGTCAAATTTTTATAAATAATATTATGTACAATAATAACTGATAAGTACTAATTTTACAAAATATACATTTTATTATACAATCGAAAGTGCTTGAAATCATTAAAAAAAAAACCAATATTGCATAATATCAAAATACATAATTACAAATAGTACAGTATATTGTATTAAAAAAGTTCATAGTTTCCCGTGTTAAAATTTAAAGATTAAATATTTTTATAGCAATAATTGGATATTATAATATACTTTTTTATTAAGATCTTACTAAATGATACAAAGCAAATTGGTCTAATCTAGAAGATATGATAAATATAGCCATTATAATTTAGAATAAATGTTTATTATAATAATTGTATAGATATATTTTCAATTTTTACTTGTACAAAACAGCTATTATTATATTTTATTTACGTATTGCCGTATTGGCAATATTATAATATTACGAGAATGTATTTTGTACCCTAAATAATAACATGTAAATGTGTATGAATTTGAGTTAATTATTTAAAGACATATTTTGAAATTTGAATTTTTTTCCAGTTTTTTATTCTATAAATATACCAATAATATTTTATTCGTAGGGTCAAAAATCTTGAAAGTTTAGTAAAAAGTTCTTCACATTGTATAATAAAAAAATGTTAAAAATAGGTACTTATGAATGATTTTTTTTTTAAGGCATTTTAAGTTCAAATTTTAACAAAATTCGTCATAATCTCGACCATTTGCTAATTATTTTTCAGTCGGATATTTATAAAAATATTTCCTTGTATACCTAAGTTATGAAATTTTAATAAAAAGTTCTTCATTAGTAGTTATAATAATATAATAGTAGATGAGAAATAATAAAGATCCATATGCACGAATTTTATTTATAAGTGTTTAAAATTAAAATGTTGACAACATTTATTAAATTTACAAATCACTTAGTAGTAAAGAAATAATAACTTCTAAAGTTTTAAACTTTTATAGCTAAAGAATGAAAATTTAAAACAAGGACTGTCATAAATAGTTCATACAATTACCAAAAATCTAAACATATATAAACACAGTTATCTTTTACAAACATTATAAGTTTAAACTTGGACAAAATTACATATTAAACCATGAATAACGGATTTAGTTATTTTGTTGTACCTTAAAAATATTATTCGTGGGTATATGAAACTTTTTAGAGTATATTATTATATTTTATAAGCACAATGACATTTTCAAATCTAATTTTTTGGCAAAAATAAATTTAACCTACTGTTGTACTAATGCCTTTTAGTGAAACAAATTACTTTTTTGTCACGCATGCGTCGAAAGTTCAGTTTTCGATGACGGTTGAATTGTTGGAAAGCAACCCTTTTCTGTCCAGCGGGGGATAAAGTGGAAATCCCCAAAAGTGGGGATCCCCAAAAGTAATATCACGCGTATCCCTTGCACAACCATACACTGAAATCTATACCACGGTCCTTAAAAAATATAAACTTCTGGTTACGTTTTATATTCATGTTATAACCTCCGTAGATGACGCTTAAAATAAATAGCACCAAATCGTTTCTTTCATGAAATTGTTTTCGTAGAACAGTCTGGTTGTTGCATAGATCCCTGCATTGCATTTGCCGTGATGGATGAATGCAGATGCATGACAAAAAATAGTATGTGTGGCTCGTGCGGGAAGGAAATTCTAGTCTTGGCCGAAATGCGACTCAGGTCGCCCGAAACTGAAATAGCTCACTTCCTGCCCTTGTCACACAATAATATGTTATAATCACACTGATATCATTGAATACACTTAGTAATATTATAATCGGACAGACCGTCTTTGCTCAGAATCGTTTTCGTATACAATGATTTTATATAATTGAATTCAAATTTAACATCATCCAATACAGTGACCCACTTTTGTAACCTACTGTACAGCAGACGGACTTCCACTTACCCGTTTTTTTCTTTAAATTGAATTTTCATTAACTTAATTTTAAACTTAAGAGGATGCTACCCATACATTTGTTGTCTCCGTCTTACACACGCGAGACGTATAAACTGTCGTTCGCTTGTTTCAATAGTGTGCTGTTAGTTTTGATACTAGAGTGAATTGACCTATTATAAAACTTTTAGGTAAAAACATTATCTGTTGTGCTTAAGCTCTGCTTATTTTTTGAAATTTTCATTTTCAAGCAAGATATAGGTATGTGAAATATCAAAAATTAAAAATGCTCATATCTCGCTTGAAAATTAAAATATCGCATAAAAGCCAACTCTTAAGCACATATTATAATGTTATTATCTAAAAAATTGATAATAGGTCAAATCACTTTAATGTCAAAACTAACAGCACACTATTAAAATTTAAAACTAGTGAATGAAAATTTGCTATGTCGTAGGTACGTGTGTAAGACGGAGACAACAAATGCGTGGGTAGCATCCTCTTAACTGATTTTTATTGATATAAACTTAATAAATAACGAACAACTTTTAATCAAATCCAAGATACATACATTTATAAAATATAGTAAAATAATAAAATTTAGTAAAATTATTTTTATTGAAGTGTATAATATTGCATATTGCGTAAACATTTACTAAAGTAGGAAATTAAAAATTTCATTTAATTACATTCTTGTTCCATTAATCAGAACTGTTCAATAAAAATAACTTAATTAAATACATATATTATAATAATATGTACCTAGATACCATACCATACAATGGCAATAATGACATACGTTAATGTTAATAATATTAATAATGTATAATATTACATGTGCATACAAATAAATACTGATACCCATAAAATATGATATAGGTACAAATGTACAATTATTCTCAAAAACTTATTATTAAAATATTTACGTCCTAATGGCATAAAATTACATAAATAAGCTATAGCAGGTAACTGTTTTAACTTTTTAACTTTCTTAATTAAAACCAATTGTGGTTTGTTCATATCTATTTAAAATGTTTAGATTTATAAACAGCTATCTAATATTGTCAATAATATGTATGATTTTTATTATTTTAAACCATATTACTGGTATTTTATAAAAATTTTGAAAAAAACTTAACTTAACTGAAGTTAATAAGTTAATTTTAAGTTTCCATATAACTTAAGATACAACAATAACTGAGTTAAAAAAAAAATATTGGGATCACTACCTACTAACTTTAGTCTTTTTAAAATGTTTTCTATCAACTTAACTTAATTAAAAATTACCATTAACTTGACCAGGTTTGATTGTTGTTACAAAATTAAAATAGGTGGATACAGAAAAATAAATTATTTAGATCATTAAACATATTAATAACATAATATAACTAAAGAAAGTAGAAACTATATAGTATATACGTCATATACCTATAAACATATAAATAGAGGTCATACTTAAATTATTAATATTTAAAAAATAATGATTTATAACATTATATAAACTTACAAGTTAAATGTATGGAAAATTATTTCAAGTTATTGTTGTTGATTATAGTCATTGTTTTATTTTCGTAAATTTCTGTTTTTTTTTTTTTTCAAGTGGCTATATAGAACATTAAATTTGGCTAATTTAAAAAACCGCAATACAGTCTGGAACCATGATCTAACCAATTAATTAAACGAACAGTTCCACCCCAAAGCTAAAATTATTAGTAATTTGCTAATAATTCATTTTTTGGTGCCGAGTCTGGCGACTAACATTTCCTCCTCATCCACGAAGACGTAGCATTGTTTAATGTACGTAACTTATATGTGAGTATAATACGCTTAATATTTAAGTAATTGCGATACATATAATATCAAAACACAGAGTACAAAAAAATTAAATACATTGAATGAAAACACTGATTTCACGGCAACCAATAATTATAATTATAATAATTGCTTTAAAACCCATAACGACCATTTATAAACAAAAATTTCCACCGTAAATTTCTAAAACCCCGTTTGAGCACATACCCTGGTTTGACCTAGGGGGTGATTTGTAGCCCACGTGTTATTCTGATGTATTAGCTATATTATTATTGTAAAGTTTCATTAAAATCCATTCAGTAGTTTTTACGTGAAAGAGTAACAAACCTACTTACAGACTTTCACGTTTATAATATTAGTAAGTTTATGTAGTACCTATGGACCTATAAAACACACGTATATTATGTATTTGTGTTTTCATCGGCCGTTTCATGGGATATACAAAATATTATAAGCACCTATGCCTAGTATTAAATGCATATATACAATATAATATTATATTATGCATATAAATTAATTATTTTTCTAAAACAGTATACGCGTACATTAGTATAACAATAATACTATTATTATATAAAACGTTGTGTTTTTCTGCCGCCACAGCCGATCAAAAATAATCATGACGTACCTGCATTAAATATTAACGGAACAGCCAAAAATAAATTAGTGAATATTGACCACAGAATTTGATTATTATTCTATTCTGTGTATTCACTAACAAGTAACAAGATAATAACCTATATTTTATATTTTATGAGTTTATCGCTACTTGGAATTTGTTCATACTATTAAAAAGCACTATAATAACAAAACCAGTAGATTTTTATCCAGATAGAATAATATAGATAATGAAATTT